CCGAGGTATGCCAAAGGTAGCATAGTTCTCTTAGGCCAGTTGTATGGGCCTTTAACGCATATAAATCTGTATACTAATTGTTATAAAACACAATTGGTGAAGAATGTCAAGGTAGCATAGGTCTGTTCGGCCATTTGTATGGGCCTTTAAGGCATATAATGTTGTATACTTATTGTTATAAAACACAATTGGTGAAGAATGTCACTATGCCTATTGTATGGGCATGTTGTATGGGCGTGTATACGTAGGTGATCAGTACGACTAATCGTCCTTAACCAAAGTAAAATTGATGTGGTTGTTTAAAATTTTTATTCAGTGTCAACTAACAACTTCACTACATAAAAAATAATACAATCTGCTGCCTCGTATTACATAGTTCACGCAAACAATTTAGCGTACTAAATTAGGGCCTGGGGCTGCAATTAGTAGTTCATCAACAATTGTAAACTGTTTTACACACGAGTCCTGTTTACCAGCAACAGGTTCCTTGACAGCTTGCATGTAGTGAGACCCTTCATGCAGGTGACAAATATATCATGATAAACTTGGTCTAAGTTCAACATCTGCACATAAAAAAAGGATAGCCTGTGATTAACTCATCCAGATCCGGTTATTGAACCAGGGATCTAAATATATATATAAAGCCACTTACTGGTCTGTTGACGAAACTCATGTCTGATGTTATGCAATCAGCAGATAACAACATCATCTCAGACCGCAAGTTTGTCTTTAACACAACACAAATCCGGTACAAAGCAGGATCAGAGCTTAAGGTTCTTCTCGGTCCAGGAGAAGAACCTATATGCCAAAAAATATATTTTCATATACGATCACTTCCATAGAATGGAACCAACCACGAAATATTCACCTCAGACACAACTGCTAACACGGGACATCTAGGATTGCTAATGAAAGTCGAAAATGAAGGGAGTATAATTGTATTGTAATCTACTTCTCCATCGAACGATACTACCTCAAGCTAAAAACAAATCACAGTTTGCAAAGAACATTATGACTAAAATAAACATCACCGGAAATAGATAGACAAGTGCATGAAATTAGACTCACAAATGCACAAGATAACAGAAATGGCCAATCACCCATCATGAACCAGTTAGAATATCTCATTACTTGTCAAAAATATAAACATAATTGTTTACCCACTACAAACTACCATATCAAAAAACCATTAGCCAGAGGACATTTGCAGTGTAAATCTAACCACTGAAATCATTTTTCTTAGCAGGGACAGGGCTCCAGTAGGATGACACACAGACAACAGTATGATGAGACGCGTACTATTATCAAGAATAAACCATTCATATAGAACAGAGTAATTGTTGATTACCTTCTCAAGTCATCGACATTATCAACATACGGAGAAGCATCATACCCAACTGCTATTTTGCCTTGTGTTTGATTCAGATCTTCAGAAACTACTGTAACAACACTAGCACTTTCCATTCCATCTATGTTTTCAACTTCTTGGCGAAGGAACTTTGATGATGACGCTCCTCTACGACGTTTAGGAGTAGATGTGAAATCAATATCATCTTCAATCACAACCTTAAAAAAATATTAAAACCAAAAATTAGTGATTAATAACTACATCTAAGTTAGGGATATTTATATATAGTCACAGCACCTTAATTAGTTACAACACCGGGTCCATCTGTATCTTCAGCGATGAATCTCACCATAAGCAACATCCAAGGTCTATTAACACACCAAATTTTTTCCGTGAGTACATACACTTAGACCGTATTCAACACAAAGTAGCATAAATGAAAGTGGTTAAAAAAGAACATTATATACCCCTTTACATCCATAATCACCTCCATTAGGTGAACTGTCCTCCTTGCTAGCAACCATTATCTCTTTCATGTTCCACACCTTCAACCTTGGGAAAACACCCCATTGTACAGCCTCCCTATCAAGCCGGTCCAAGTAAAAAATTTGTCAAACTCAACATCATTTTATTGTTCACATTCAAAACCAATGGCCAACAATGAAATACATATAAAACTGAACGTACCACGGCAAATAAAATGCAGCCTCCACATCCACGAGCATGCTCATTAGAATAAAATCTACGAGCAAAGGACCAGACACTAGAAAGCAGCTTGGATAGCACCAGAGTGCACCAATCATATTCAGCAACTTCCATAGCACATGTCAAAGCAGGCAGAAGCCAATCTAGGGGACAAAGTAGGACACTACAACATTTCCAATGTAATCAATAAGAAGAGTGTCTTGAATTCTTCCTCCTCGTTCTCTTCCCAGTAACACTCAAGCCTCTCCAACAACTCAGGGTACACCGGAATTCCTACGATATCGTAGACCCTCTATTATCCATTTTGAGGATGGGTCTTCCGTGGTGTACCATATTTTGCGAGTATTTATTTTAACCTTTTCCCGTTGTACCCTTTTTAATGTTTTGCAAGATGGAAGTACCTTTGGCCCATGAGGGATGCCAAGAACCCAATGGACTTGATTTTAAGATAACCTTAAACACCTTCCATCAGGGGTTATTAACATCTTACTGATCGGATCCATTCGGGTCATTAGCCAGTACCCCAGCTGCCTTGGAAGATGCATGTCACCACACAAATACAACAGCCCTCCAAATCTCATTTTAGCTACTCAATGTCTCCTACGTGAGTCAAACGTTTGACAAAAACTAGCAAAACTCTCCACCCGACAATTCGTGTTTGGTGGCTATTAAATATGGATACAATAAGTTACATGGAACCAATACCAAGATAAAACAACAAGGTTAACTTCCTGATTTTCAAAAACAACACACATTGTACATTACCTTAGACCTCGCCTTAAAAAACTCCTTCAAAACTTCTCCTTTAGCTTTTACTTGCCCACTAACAGTCAAACTATCATCCTACAGGTTGATTTCAAAACATCTTAAACGAAAGATAGCCAGCCATGACAACATACTCCAGATATTAGTGTGTGATTTGGAAGTTACCTTGAACATTGCCTAGAAAACATGTTTACTATCTTGCATCATTTGCCCTTACAAAATTATTTCCTTTGCGTGTACTACAACCAAAACTAACAAATACCAATTACACTTAAATAACACTGAGAAATTCCAGGTCAATTTAACTAATACACATTGCACAGTTTCACAAAAACACCAATAAATTACAGATATTGTTCTAATATAATCCTGCAAACAATGTAAACTCAAATTTCAATTCAAAACAATTACATACCACAGGTACACTATTTAGTAACAATTTCAACAAAATTGCATTCCAATTAACTTACAAAAACACAATTGGTCTTCAATTGAAGCCATAGCCAGAGCACAAACTAAGGTCAAAACAATTAAAACAAAAATTCTAATCCTCCAAAACAGTTTTAACTCAAATTTCAATTCAACCTTGACTAAATTTGAAAGTGATTGCAATAATTCTACAGGTACTCCCTAACAATTCAACAGAAATGCATTCAAAATAACTTACATAAACACAATTGGTCTTCAATTGAAGCCATAGCCAGAGCACAAACTAAGCAATTTCAATTACTATTCGACAAATGCGATATCACTGATAAACCCGACTATCTAGCAAATAACTAACATACTACATTAAGTACAATTTTCATCCACTAACCTTTTTTGTCGAATTTGATCAGTGTCAGTGTTTAATGGACCACAACGCCTTGAATCGGGCGAATCAGTGTAGTGCTCTTCCTGCGCTGGTTTCTAGTTCTATTCCGACAATAACACAACTAGCATTGGATTCAACTACCTCAATCAATAACATAATACTAAAGGCGAATCTGACATGACACTTGTCATGTTCTGATTAAAAAATTTCCCGCCACTTTCACTTTCCTTTGTTTTTTTTTTTTTCAAATCTTCATGCATATTAATTTATATATCCTATAATATCTAACTTTCAATTTGGCAACTATATTCTAAGTATATTCTATATGCATTGAATGAAAATATTTTAACATATCTTTCATATATTTTATAATAGGTATTTTCTATAACAAACAACATATACTACGTACATAAGGTAATATTATTAGAATAATGTATTACTCCCATACTCCATATCATTCTACATCATATTTTTTCATTTGAAAGTTTTTTTTTTGCTCCAATCAGGATTAACTCTTTAACTTTTATTATATATTTGTTGATTTATTTATAATAATAACACTACAATTTAATAACTATAAATATTAAATAAATAAAAAAAACCTTGATTATTAATTGTCACAAAAAATAAGTCACTAAAATTTGTATAAAACACTTGTGCAGGTCAATGTATGCTATAAAATATTGTGCCGATCAAAACATGCCAACACAAAAAGGGACAAATGGTGTATATAAGCACATTGCACGGGTCATAAATAACATAAAATTTTATTCTTATATAAAATCCTATAATCATGAATTTTTTTTTTTTTTTGATATTTAATGATTAATACGAGTAACTTTTGATATCAATATAACATAAAATTCAAGTTAGTTTTTTTTTTTTTTAAAGAAATTCAAATATTTATTTCAATTAAAAATATTGATTTTTAAATCATTGTTAAATTAATATAATAATTCATAATTAGGTTAAGTAAAAATCGTGCGTTGCACGGGACTTAAACTAGTTTCACTTATAATTGATCACCGTCGATGGAATGTCAGAGTTCCGGCCACACTGCGGTTCGAAGAATACAAACTTGGAGAAAATGTCGAATTAGGGTTTCAAAAATTGGGAAATAACCAGGTACGAGAAAGCAAATTCCTATGAATAGGCGTTAGAACATTGACTAGTCAGACGTTAGTTTGACTAAACAGAACGTGTGCCAATGTGCCATGTCATTTAGACGTTTTGGGTGTTAATGGGCATAGTGACATTAAAGCCCCTAACTTTAATTGTGAAAAGACAGCTTTGCCCCTTGATTTACAAATCATGCACATCAACCTGATGAACATGAATTTCCTCCCCTCCCTGGTACCTACACCCGGGTGTACAAATCAATTTTTGACGAAACCTAGGTGTCAAAAGAAAAAAAAAAACCCAGAATTTAAAGCCTTTTTCTGAGTTTTTTGAGTCCATCGCTCCATCCTACTCTCCTTTCTCTTCCCTCTCTTTCTCTCTCCTCCCTTCTCTCAAGCAACAAAAATGGCGTCGACAGAAGAAGAGAGCGCAGTTAAGGAGCCTCTCGATCTCATTCGTCTCAGTCTCGATGAACGTATTTACGTCAAGCTTCGTTCTGACCGCGAACTTCGTGGCAAACTCCATGTATGTCTCCTTCTCTTCGCCTTTCTCCTTTTCTTGCAATTTCCTTCTCCCAATAACTAACAATTCTTGTTTATCAATCTATTTCAATATTTCAATTAGGGTTTTTCGAATTTTTCCTCTTTTTGTTGTTGTTGTTGTCAAATTCTGGAATTAGGGTTCCTGTTTTTCATAATTACTCATTTCTGAGTGTATATTGTTAGTTTGTTATTTTTTTTCTGGGTTTTTGATTTTGAATGCTTGTTTCTGATTGTCATTTTTGCATAGCTGGTTTGAATATAAGCTTCCTAATACTAGGAATTTTAAGCATTATTCCCCCCCCCCCCCAAAAAAAAAGGATTTTTTGCTTAAAGTGGGTGCTTTTGTCAATTTTGTTTCATCATTTGTTGCTTAAATGCATTCACTTGCTTTGAATTTGAAACTGGTTTGGTTGTTTTTGTGGTGCATTTGCCTTTTATGTTGTAACATTTTGAATTGGGCTTTCAAATAGGTAGGATTTGAACCGAAGCATCCATCTTGTTCTAGTATATATGTTGTATCAGCTTAAATTGATTATATTGTAGTAGCTGCTTGAATCGTTAGGAAGAATAGGAGGAAATTATTTTCGGAAGTGATTATTTTTGCAAACTGAAATTTCAAAGTTGATGTCACAAGAGTAAAAAAAAGCCAAATCTCTTTAGAAATGTCCAAAAACCAGGTGTATGACGTTTTGAGATGAAGCTTTAAAGTCATTTTGTATTTATTTTCCTTCTCTTTGGGGCTAAGCTTAATCTAGATTTTTCAATGCCTATTACTTGATGCAACCAATGGTTTGAGTGGAGCTGCGAATCTCTCTTCTGCTTCCTTGACATTTCACTATGATTATATGATGGATAATCTCTGAGAATATTATGCATGCATGCATAGTCTGATTTCCTGAAGGGAGAGTGGGCGAGTGGCTTGGGAGGATGTTGTTAGGTGCAAATATTGTGGCAGATTTTTTGGAGTTGTGTGAATTGCTGTTTCCGTTCTTATGTCTTTTATATATAACTCTATCTTCCATCTTGTTATAGTACATTGATACTGTGTATTATATTTTGAAGATATGAGATATTAAAAAGATTGTTTGGTGTACTTTCTTCCCTTTTTATGTCACTTGATTGAAATGAGTTTTGTGGTTGTCATGGGAGATAATTATTTTCTTCCTAATTGTAGTACAATTTCAGATGTTGGTTTTAGAAATTAAGGTGGTACCCTTTTTCAGATGAGTTACCCGAGTGCCTTAGGGTCATTATAGCTTTATTTGCCCTTTTTCTTTGACTAATAATTTATAGGTTACAGAGGAATTTTCTTGCTTTTGACCTTCTTAAAGCTCCCATTCTCCTATCTTCATGGATATATTAAATAACTGCAACTTGTTTTGTCTTAAATTATTTGTGAATTTTTGAACATGGTTTGTGCTCCAAAATTTATATATATTCAGAAATAGAAAGTGTGTTATTTTCATTATCCCCATTATTGTTTATCTTAAAAAGCTGTACAATTTTGTTCAGATTTACCTGTGTTGATTTGCAGGCTTATGATCAGCATTTGAATATGATTCTTGGAGAGGTTGAGGAAGTTGTGACATCTGTGGAAATTGATGATGAGACTTATGAGGAAATCGTTCGGGTAAGTCAATTAATACACCCTCCACGCTTGTAGTAGTGTCTATGGCTTGTTTAGTAGCGGTATACTTGATATTTTGTACATGGTAATGTTTGGCTACGCTAAACATGTGATTTTCTTCATAAATATCCATTTCCATCCATTGCCACTTTGAGGGTGGTATTGAGCGATAATTTAAATTCAAAATAAAACCACCTATTTGTAGATGGAGGCATGGGACCTTCCCTGCAAATTTAGATAAGATTTCATTACCATTTATGCCATCTACATCTGCCTATGAAATGAGCTGTTGAGTTTATGTACAAGAAGTAAAGAGTTGTTATTTATTGTATTGCTATCCAAAGATGACCAATAACATTGCGTTGGTATATCTGAAAAATATAAGCAATAGTGCATTTCAATAAGCAGTGTGTTAATATGGAAAAAAGGGATATTAGTATCTGTCAAAGATGTGTAAAGACCTGTTAGTAATGGCCAACGCAACTCAGAACAGGCCAGCTGCCCAATTTTCTATTTCACTGGCGTATAACAAGTCAAAATTTAGTTAACAGCAGCCAAATAATGGTTGGATAACTTAGGCTCTGTAAATGAAACACCAAATGACATTCTATAGACTTTAAATAATTATTTCCATCAGTGACAATTGACATCCCAGTAGGCTCTACTTTCATCTATATGCAAATGCATTCATTTTCCTTGTTACTTTGTGCTGTATTTTGAACTGGTAGAAAGACTAGAAACATTGAATATTAAAGGCTCAAAACTGCTGTTCCACACTTGCATGCTATATAATGTTTGCAAAACTTCATCAAAAGTGTGATAATGCCATAGGATTCTTTGAAAGGAAACTGTTCTTTTACTTATTCTCAATTCCGTTGTTACATTCTGTAATCACCAAGGGAGCCTTTGATTATCTAAGTCTTGTAAATTATTCTTCATATATAGAGTCTAGACTCTAGATGAACGTACACAATGGATCCCTACTGTGCTTTGATGAACTGCTAAGCTCCGTTGTTCCCTGAGAAACCTGCAGTGTTTGTGGTTTATTGTAATTTGTTAAGACGATAGAGCTCATATCATATCTAGACTCCAGAGTTGCAATTTGCAAGTTTATCTGAAATAGCTTGCTGTTGGTGTTTTTTCTGGGTGCTTCAGGAATATAATGTTGAAAAACTCCGTAAAGTTGCAATTTGTTTTATCAAAGACTATTTATATTGGTAAAGCAGTCTTGTTATAAAGGCATTTAAGAAAATAAAATTACATGCATCTGTTTTTGGGCCACTGCTATAAACTGAATTTGGATTCTACAAGATGAACTAATTCACTGCACATTCTTACATCTTGCAATTTTTGATTTTTGTCCCCAGACTACAAGGCGCACTGTTCCATTTCTCTTTGTTAGAGGAGATGGTGTCATATTGGTGTCACCGCCTCTTAGGACAGCTTGACGTAGGACATCACAATATTGGATTTTGACCAAGGGATCAACCATTTTATAGTTGCATCTGCTGTGATCTTATGCAAAGCTCAAGAAACTGTTTACAAATGTAGTCTAGTTTGGACAAAACAGGATGTCATAACTTTGTGGATGAATGTAAGCCTTTTTTGTGCGCTTCCCATATATTTGCATCTTGACATTTTATGATCTAAGTTTATTTGTGGATCAATATTAGCTGGCATTGAGAAATATTTTTGAATTGAATGTTTATGGTTCATACGTAGAATTTATTGGTTGCCGAAAGTTATCAACAGGCCAATTTAGAATTTTAACTGATTTTGTCGCACTTTTTTTCATCTTCGGTTTGATCTGAGCGAATTTGCACTCATATTGGCAATTAGACATACAGCACATACTGAGGTGAGCTAAACATGGAAATTTAAGCCTTTTTATTTGCCGACTGTGTTCGAGGTGAAAGAGTGCTACTCCTATCCATTGTCCCGGGGTTCCGAAGTTGAAATAAATTTGCTGACATACTTAAATGGGTTGGAATTTGAGCACTTTGAAAGTGAATTTTGTACTAGGACCAATAATTTAGAGATGCATTTGTATAGAATAGTGTAGTACAGTGACCGATATATTCAGCCATATAAACTCTGTAGCGGCTACCCAGCGAGGCAGCGACCGCAAATCATAATAGCAAAGCTCCGTTGTAAATATTTGTACTTGCACTGATGTTAGTGATGTACATGGATTAAACCCTTTCACATTGTAATCGATACATAAAAATTAACAATAACAATCCCTTCAAAGTTTTACATAACAATTAACAAAAACAATCCCTTCAAAGTTTAAACGATGCTCCTATTGTGCTAAATAGGTTCTTGCATCACCTTAGAACTAATCATAAGAGTTAGCACTAATTCGACTTAATATCCACTGATGCATAGTTCTCATATGGTATTCTCGATACTCTCATCAATAAACTATTTACCAATATGATAACTCACAAAAGCATCTATACAAGCATACATAACTTGACATTCATCAAGCACCTCTTTATCCCACTTACTCATTGTGATCTCCTTAGCCTTCACTATCTCCCACCCCAACACCGCGATCGCCACTTCTTTCAAACCTGCATTTACTCTCACCTTCCCCGCCTCGGCTGCAACCTTGCTCACATCTAGCATACTTGACAACCGCAGATCATAATCCTTTGAAAGCCTTTAGGAGTCACTTGAGATTCCGACACTGGAGAACTTGCTTTGTGGGTCCCCTAAGAAGTCCTCGAGGGCCGAGGGAACCGAAAGGGAGTGGAGGAGCTGGTAGATGAGGCAGTTGGGGCCTACACATAGTTGTAGGGCTGCTATAGGGTTTAGCCACTCGGTGTCTAAGCCGATTATGGTTGAATGATGGTTGGATCGGATGTGGGTGATCCAAGATGTTACTAAACGTGTCACGATGGTTCGAACCTGGTGGTTGAAACACGTGACGTCGTAGGCTGTGAATGTGTTGATTTGATGGTGTTTAACTATTGTTGCTGGTGAGGTTGACATAGATGATTTCGTTAATGCCCGGTTCTTTTTTTTCTTCCTATTTAAAATCTCGAGAGAAGGGGATTAAAGAGAATTTTTGTTAATATATTGCAACCACAAAATAATTAACTATATTAAGAGAAATTTATGTTTTTTTTTTCAAGGTTAGAATAAAGAGAATATATAAGGTAGGTTTAGATTAATAGAAGTTTATGTTTTGCATGAAGTATTTATCCGTCTTTAAAAGTTTTTCTTATTTGACTCATTAAAATTAGTTTTTTACTGGGTTAGAACCCTTACGATGCACGGTTATTTTTATAATTTGTACATTTAAAAAAAATGGATAAATATGAATAAGAATTATGCATCTTGTACAAAAATACTTGTAATTTTATAGTTTTGGATTTTCGTCAATATTATGATATAATACCTATTCAACGTCGTCTAATACATATTTCAATATATATTAGTGTGCTATTTACAATTTTTTTCAATTTTAAAGTTAAATTGATAGGTTATAGTTGTAATGTAAAAGCTAATAATATTCAAATTTCAAAATTGTTAAATATAGTAGCTCTCAAAAAAAAAAAAAAAAAAAAAAAAAAACACCATCCTTGCATTTAGGCGGGAAAAAATTTATTATGTGAGTGGCATGTGAACAGCGATGTTGTCAGCAACCTTTGGTTTTAGTAATAGTTAATAGATTCAAATATCACCTCTTAAAATATTATCACTTAACATAGAATAAAAATATATTATATTTATTAGGATATAATAGTAATAAGTATCAAATATATAAAAATATATCATATCAATTAGGATATAATCGTAGTAAGTATCAAAGATTACCTTATTTAGTTGATAAGTTCTAAAATGAAAAGAAACATATGGTATATTAATTTGGAAAAATTCCGCGTGAACCTGGACCCAAGGCTTATACGCACGCAACTGACTTTACATTAAACATAGTGACCTTAATTTTAACATAGTAATCTTTATTAAAACTTATGTGGCCTTTAATATTAGGCAAAATTGGCCTTAATAGCACCAACTATAGGTTGGGTGCGGAGAATAGTACAACCTTGCTTGGGTGCACTCTACATCACAAACTATTAAGTTTGGTACACAAAATGTCATGAATGACATCGGAGGACGGAGATTTTGCCAACAAAGTGTAGTTTTATTATTTTCATATTTTTTACCAATTTTCATCCTTTGTTACTCTTCTCTAACTTATTTAATTACTTTATTATACCTAGCACGTGCTTCCGAATTACTTTTCTTTAACTTATTTTGTAACGACGTTTATGATAAATTGCAACGAATGGATTATGTTTGGCAAAATAAACCGAAATCTACTTACACAAATTAAAAATTCATCCAAACAACACATCAATTTCAACAAATCATCATAACAGTACACCAACTAATATCCTAATTTCATGAAATTATGAAGAATAAAAAAAGAGAAATAACCAAATGCATGTATTCAGCACAGATATAGAAATTGAATTTCAAATTTTTACCAAAGTACAATTTAAAGAATATCTTGTGCCAATTGATTGCTTATTATTTTAGGATTGGTCTTCGTCTTCTTCTTTGTTTACCTTGGTGTTCTTCAAAGAGTAATATTAATTTTACTAATTGGGGTAATGGGTTAATAATAATAATGGGGACATATCATTAGTATAGTAAGAGAAAATAAAAAAAAAAGGGTGAAAATTGGTTAAATATATTTGAATAATAAAAATATGCTTTTCCGGCAAAAGTTCTGATATCTGATGTCTTTTATGACATTTTTTACACCGAACTTAATAGTTTGTGATGTAGAGTGCACCCAATCAAGGTTGTGTTATTCTTTGCACCTAATATAGTTGATGCTATTGAGGCAAATTTTGTCCTAATATTATTGTGAACCTGAATTACGACGTTATGTTGAACATAGTGACCTTTATTATTCATATTAACTAGTATATTAAAGATTTCATATATATATATATATATATATATATATATATATATATATATATATATATATATATATATATATATAATAAATAAAAAAAACCTCTTATAGCCCTTATAATAGCAAAATGACTTTTATTTCAACATAATAATTTTTATTTTAATATAGTGACCTTTTTTTTTTATTAATAAAACAACTAGGGTCTCTAATGTTATTAATGTGAACCAGGTGCATTTTAGAGTTTGTATATTAATTAAATTTGTTAGATGTGTTAAAAATATTTAACCAACCACTGATATGATGAATTACACCATACTACATATTTTAGATATTTCTTTATTCTGATTGTAACTTCTTTCCTTCCCTTCGCGGTTGTTATTTTTTTGTATCACGGAGTAATATCTTGCGTTGCAATAATGGTAATTAACATGTCATAGTATTAAGAGTAACCTAAGGAGCGTAGTGAGATGATCTTTCTATTTCGCAATGAACGTTTTGGTTCTTTGTACATGTAGGTGGGGTTCATTGATACGGGGAAGGCTGTCTCCACCATAATTTTCATAGAAGACTTACAGCCAAGCGCTAGTTTTTCCTTCTACGGTCGGTGATGGAAGCAAGAACGGAGCCTTCCTTAGACTTTACTCCACCCGTTAGCTACTAAGTGAGTGAGTTTAATATCTATCTTTTACTCCTAAGAAATTTTCCATAACAATCAAGTTGAAAGAGAGATTAGTACGTGTGAATGAAAAGCATGCAATGCAGTAAAAAGAAAGATTGAAAAGAAATTCGCACAATTAAGATAAATAGCTGGTATTTCATACCCAATTTTAGGGTACTCAATTTATTAAAAGCCAACTTCAAACATCCTTCTCATGTTGCCGAAGTTATTAAAATCGGGATTCTACTTTGAATCGGAAGGGGCTATCAGAATCGAATTGTAAAATCGAATCGTAAGATTCTACCGACATGCATAATCAAGACGTTAAATAATTAAATATATTGAAATTATGAGTTTGAAACCTAATTATTGATAGAAAATAGTGTTTACCAATTAAGCAACCAATAATTGACAATATATATTTATAAAAAACTATATAGGCATATTTTAAGCTTGTAAGGATTTCGCTAGTTAAGAGAAATATGAAAAACGTAAATCGTAAGATTTCAAGATTAAAATCGGGATTTTAATAACAATGTGTGTTGCCCAATCAAAGTGGGTAGGGTAAAAGGTTAACATAAGCAACTAAATTAGACAGCGTTGTAAGCTTCTTTAATTCATATGTGTCATATGATCGAACTAACTCTTTAAATGGAAATCACTGTGGATTGGCCCGGATTCATCACCGGAGTCAATTAGTACACTCAATTTTAAGTAAAAAACAGAGGGAAGGGGAGTGCCTTGAGAAGCAAATTAGACTTCAAACCTTTGTCCTTCTAGGATCGAAGTGAGTCTGCCGAGATGGATAAGAGAAGCAATATCTCCTTTTGGTTCTGCTTCCGCTACCTGTTTGATGACGTATTACAGAGGCTCGCCCTATCTCCTCGTTGTGGTTTACTCTGGGATATACCTGCTTTTCATAGTAAGATGATCAGGCGTCTGTGAGAATAAGGCCGACCAATTTGTTAAATTATTCCTGCACGGATTTGTACCGAGGAAACTACTAGTGGATAGTTGCTTGTCAAAATTTCTAGCCTAGCTGTCGACTATGGTCAGACTATAACGTAAAATGATCTTAGTGTTACTTAATAAATCTTATAGATATCATTTGTTTCCTCTAGGTTATCTTCATTATTTATTGGAGAACAATATACATTCAACATGAATGTTAATCTCAATCCTTTGTAGCATCTGGAACCAAAGATATGGAGATTCCAAATCAAGGCACTTTTGACTCTAGGTTCAAAGGAGCAAATTCGGTTATGTTAGGATTTGTGGAGTTAGTTTAATCGAAATTGAGGATTATTAAGAAATGTCCAGGAGCAATCGCGTTTCAGTGTACGTGGACATTTGCACGGGGGCGTTGAAATTGCAGAGTTGGGAGGCAGTGAACTTGCGAGATATGGAGAAAGCTTGGTCATGAACATGTATACCAAAGGAATGGCAATTTGTTTCACATTGCACCATTATCAATTATTAAGTGCAACAAGGACATGTATTTCATCAATGAATTTAGGGAGAAACAATTCATAGACAAGTAATATGTTGATCCCTCCAACCAAAAGTAATATTTAGGCGAGGTGAACCAGCAAGGCAGCAACTAGTGTACTCTGTGTAATTGTGTAAACACCTATATACCCTGGAAGGCTAAGGTAGAGTAGACAAAGGGCTTCAGCCATATAGCTGAAAGAAAAAAATTATTGTGGGATAATTGGAGCGAAACCGCCAGACCTAAAATTCTCTGGCCATGAGAAAATGAAGGACTAATCTGTTTCAAGATCTTACAAAAAAGGTGAAAGGATATTCATAGTAATTATCGGAAACACCCAAGAATACAAAGACATCATTATCAAATCGTAACATATGCATTGGATTATAATAAGTCCTTAAGGTACATCAAAAAAGAGTTGAGAAGAATGATAATAGGGGATTTTATTAGCACACCATATTGTAACAATTAAATCACATTCTTTCAGCTACACTAACTTAAATACAGCAATTACACAAAGAAATGAGAGCAAAACTGAGCAAAAAATGGAGATGGATTGAAAAACAGAAAAAGACACAAGCTAAAATAAAAGCTACCTCATCTACGTCGATGTTTAGAGATACTAGGGGAGCTAACTACTTGTGCCCCTTTGTAATTTTTGCTTGGAGAATCCAGAGACCCCCTGAAGGAAGCATAAGCAGATTTTGCAGACTCTGGTACAGAGTCCAGTGGAAGAGATTCAGCAAAGCATGCCGTGTTTATACGTGTTCTCTCAAGTTCCGCTTCAAGAAGCTCCGAGCTGCACTGTTGTGCAAGCGCCTACAGTAGGGGGGAGGGAAAAATATATGCTTAGATGATATTGCAATTTCAGATAAAATACTCAATAAGAATTACAACTCATACAATTTATTGAAAAAATCCTATTCCACCACCCTAAAAGAGACGAAATAAGTATATATAATAGGCTGCATTAGCGGCATACTTCAAATACAGAGAACGGAAAATAAAAGTTAACCTACTTCAATTAGACCAACTTCCCCATCAACTGTATTTTGTCAAATGTCTGTAAATTTTAGAGTGACTCTTCTCTCTTATAATTATACACTAAAATTTTACATCAGTTTCCATGTACGTGGATGTGTGTGTGTGTGTGTGTGCTGATTATCCCGTCAAAACTCAGTAATCAAAGTTGCTTGTCACCACATCAAAATAAATAAATTTGTTCAAAAAATAAAATAAAATAAAATACACTCACAATCAGATCATCTGGCGATACACTAACTCCCTGCTGTCTCTCATCTACAAGAGCATCTTCTCCCCCTCTTGTTGATCTGCGATGATGCCCAGGATTCTCAACCACCTCTGTCACACTTTCAGTAGCTTTTTCCAGCAGCATCCCTTGAAGTGATTTTAGAGATTCCCTCGCATCATTTGTGAAGTAGGGATTTAGTACTGTCTCGAAATATTCAAGCTGCATAGAACCAAAAGCACATTGCCTACGTCAACTTATGAGCATTGATATGCGGATTTTATATGCAATTTAATTCCCTGTCCCACGGTCATTTTATGCGTATTTGAGCTCTTCGGAGCTATTTTTGTTACTAATATGTGGGTTCTAGTATTTTGTAGAGTTGGCATTTATTTTGTAGGAATTTCCGGATTATCGGTGATTTCCGAGCTTTACGAGCCACTATGAGATATTGGAGCCAAGATCACATCGATGACCGTTCTTTAAGACCGAAGATTTCGGTGATAAAGGGTTTGGTTCGTGAAAGACGGTCCAATTATATGGACCAAAAGAGAGTGGAAGAGTGGGCCAATTCGAAGATTCAAGCCCAAAGGAGGACACCCGGCCTCAAGGATGCCGGCCCGATCGGGCGGATGCCCAGAAGGTTGATGTCGAAAAGGAGGGCCCAATCGGGCGGATACCCAGAAGGTTGAGCCTTCGCCCAATCGGGCACGTATTCTTCAAAAGACTTCTAGTTTTAGTTGTTTTCTTTCTTTTTCGGGATTAATTATAAACCCTCGTTTTAGTTTTATTAGCTACGTTTTTACTTAAATTTAGTTTTCATATTAACGATTTTAGAGAGCTTTTGGTTGGAGATTATAGTTGAACTCGAGATTTCATTAATTGCAATTTTGGTATTTTTGCTTCATTCGATATTATTTCTATTCTCCTTTATTGCTTTATTTAATTGCTTATTAATTTCAATCATGTTGAATTTAATTGCTTTGAATAGTTTAGTTTTAATTAGGTGTGAGTAGTTTAATTCTAGGGTTTTTTGGGATTCATGATTAATATGAAGGGATAAATTGTTATGATTGGTTGTTGATATTTTATACTAATTTCCTATTGAATTGTTTCAATTCTTTGCAATTGGATAATGAATCGAGCAGATGTAATTTGATTGTAATAGTTTAGCAATATTGATTTAATGAATCGAGTAGATGTTATTTCGATATTAAAGGCTATTTTCAATAGGAGTTTAGATCTAGTAAATGCGAGAGACCCTGTTAGATCAGCACGTAATCTTCAAGCTATAAAGAAAATGAGGAATTAAGAAATACAAGTATGAACTAACACAACCAATTTTAGTGATAACAGACATTTACTTTATGCCGCTTTCATTTATTTTTATCATCTAGCACCTTTAGAGTCACATAAATAACAATCAGTTTTTGAAGAATTATTAATGAGTAATTTTCAATTATAATGAGAGCGTCATCTCCAGTGATTAAAAAATAAATAAATAAATTTTTTTTAAAAAAAAAAAAAAAACAAACCAACTCACTTAAACTCCACTACCCTCTATCTGGTGAGAAAACTCTACTTACATGCAGTAATGTTATACTGCATCTAGTTAAACTGATCTACTACATAAAATAATGTTATCTCCAATGAAACAATTTCAGCAATACAACACAAAGAGCCTCTTTGTAGGTAATGGCACCCAACTCCAATACAAGAGGTAGGAGCCTTCTTAGTCATTTGGGTAAATTATACTTCTTCCGTTCCACAAATATTGCAACATGGGGAAGGGGCACGAATTTTAAGAAGAGGAGAGAGAGAGAGAGAGAGAAAGAAAGAAATAAAGGTAGAGACCCATGTGATGATGAGAGAAAGAGAGAAAACACGTGCAAATAAGGAATTGTTACAATATTTGTGAAACTTCTTAAAATGGTAATTGTTGCAATATTTGTGGAACAGAGGAAGTATATTGATATAGGATGGTATGAATCACTTGTGTTACAATTGAATTTAAAATTTAGGGAGAATACCAGTACATGATGTGATATCAGGAAGAAGATAAAAGATAAAAGATAAAAGATAAAAGACAGGCAAGACTATCCCACACAGAAAGTAAAGTAGGAATGCTTGTAATCCTTAATACTCCCTAAGTCCCATATTAGTATTTTACACTTTTCTTTTTCATTTGTCCCTAATTAAATTTTACACATTCTTTTTGGACTATAATTTTATAATATCTCTTTCCACTACCAAAACAATAGGCTCTATTCTCTAATTCAATAAAAATTTATTCCTCTATCTTCTATCACATCTACCTATTCAATAAAATTATATTCCACTATCTCCATTCACATTTATGGAGACATTGATCAAGGCGTGGCCCAAAGGATTAAGTCGGGGTGGCTTAAATGGAGAGCGGCCACGGGAGTGTTATGTGACCGAAGCATTCCCTTACAATTGAAGGAAAAACTCTACAGAACTGCCATAAGACCAATGTTGCTCTATGGTACGGAATGTTGGGCTTTTAAGAAGGAGCATATTAAAAAGATGGAGGTTATAGAAATGCGTATGTTAAAGTGGATGTGCGGAAACACTCTAAGAGATAGAATTAAAAATGAGGTTATTCGCAAGAAAATAGGTGTGGTAGGCATTGCAGACAAACTAAGGAAAAATCGCCTGTGTTGGTTTGGGCATGTAAGACGAAGACCCGAGGGTGCATCGGTTCGAAGAGTGGAAGAGTGGGACCATGGAGGGGTTAAACGAGGGAGAGGGAGACCGAAAATGACTTGGTTGGAAGGAGTTAGGAAGGATATGAAGTATATGGATTTGCATGAGGATGAGACATTGGATCGTAAGGGATGGAGGAGAAAGATTTTTGTGGATGACTACACGGAATAATTAAATTTGGTTCATGTAGCCGACCCCACTTATGGGATTAAGGCTTTGATTGATTGATATATCTACATTCACATTTACTTACAATAGAATAATGATTAATGACGAAAGAACTTATCAACCAAAACAATGTGTCATGATAAGTGTAAAATCTAATCTGGGATGGAGGGGGTAACGTTTACCAAGTCAGTGAGACACCAAAATATCTTAATGTTATCCACATTAAGATATCTTCACATAGACAAATTACATGTTCTTGAATCCCTGAGTGTTTTGGAAGATAGCATCACACAGAAAGTACAGAAGAAATGCTTAACCCTTGGTTAACATTTGCCAAGCCACCAAGATAAATTAAAGATTTGCCAAGCCACCAAGATACATTTTATTCTCATCAAGAAATTTCAGTTTTGGAAAAAGTTGTATGGAAGAATGCCCATTTTTTGAAAATTAATACAGTGTTCTTTGTTAAGAGAAATTATGAACAAAATAACAGATAGAGAAGCATTCCCAAGCCTGGCAAAGGAATATGTTCTAAGCTTACTTGGGATAAAAGTAGTTTTCTTGGCGATTATCAAGCTTCCTAATAATTTTTAGGCTTAGTTATCAAAATTTTATCTTGCAAATCATTTTGGCACATTTTGATAACTTCTTTCTCATACAAGATTATACTGTTCACTTACTGGAGTACATAAAAGGTACACTGCAGTACTGCTAGAAACACAGACTTAGGAGCTAGAGAGCCACATACCTCAAGCATAAGCTGACAGAAACCATTTGAATCCACTGACTTGAATTCTTTGCTTTCATATTCATGGAAGATACTCAAAAGAGTATCAATCAAACCTTCAACAAGAACACCAAGTGTCTTGTCAAGAAGGGGCTTAGCTCCAGCAAAGACCTGCACCAAAGAAACCAATTTAAAAATAAACGAAGTATACATGTAAAAGATGACAAGTGGATAAGGAAATAATTTGACAATTATTAGAGGTAAAGAGGTTGACAATGACATGTTAATATGTTGTCCATCTAATTAAGCATATTCAGAGAAATTACATTAGATGGTTTGTAAAAATATTAAAATACCATAAGTCCCTTAAACAGACAACTAAGCACAAAGACTCAGAGCTCCACAAAATGGTATCTGATGGAATAGTTGAAGCTATTAATTTACCTCAGCATGCACAGCTACCAGGGTGTGCAACAGCTCTACAGCAGCATCACGTACACCCTGCATATATGTATGTCATTAGATATGTTAAAACCCATTTGAGGAGAATATTAGATAGCTAATGAGTTGTTTATCATCTTACTTTGACTGAAGGAGCTGAACCCCATTGCACTCCAGCATCTAATAAGTAGCTCATTGCAGCAGTCCTGATCATGTTTGCCTGATAAAATTAACATGTATGTTAAAAAAATGCCAGCAGATAAATTAGGGGATTGAGCAGAAGATTTTAACATGAAGAGAGGTTACCTTGGCAAAAGTATACTGTTCCAGGACTTTATCTTCAAGAGCAGAGAAAGCCATTACCAAATCAACTTTATCAGAGTCCTCTTCATCTCTCTCCCTGCAATAGTGAAGTCAAGGATAAATGATCTAGCTGTTCGCAAACATTGAGATCCAATGAAAAATTGAAAAAAAAAAAAAAAAAAAAAAAAAAAAAAAAAAAAAGATGCCACAACATGACCTAGAAAAACTGCCAGAAGAGTGGGCTTTTATTGGACCGTTCAAAAGTTATGAAAAGGCATGGAAGGGAAAATACCAGATATTAATGAAATGGAACTAGAACTAATCAAACCTTTAAGAAACTCTTTTGTATTGTAAGGCTAAATTTGGAAAATGTTCCACAAATATTGTATTGCAAGTTTACAACCTTTATTTGAATCAACGAAAAGGACCAATTAATATGTAATTCAACCAGGAGCATTTAGTTATACATGTATACTAGTGGCCACATGAATGGTAAGCTGTTTTCTAGTTCCTAGCTTCTGTTATTGAGATGTAGAATGGACTTACTATAAAGCTTGTCTCCTCCATCAGCTCCTACATACCTCCTAGTAAAAGCCGGATAGAAATGTTATCTAATTACATATACTATAATGTATTTTAATATTGATTCTCATTTACCGATTGTTCTAGGCCTTCTAGCTGTCTACATGTAATTAGTACTTCCTCTGTTCTCTTTTCCTTGTAAAGTATCCATTTTAAAGTTGCAAAACATAACTTTTTTTGGCCAATGGTTCTCTCTATCTCTCTCCGCATCACATGGGTCCACTTTTTTTTATCTGTCTATCTCTCCTCTCCTTAGAAATTGTGCACCCCACCCCTCCCTTTCTCCTCCACTGTGATTAAAAGAACGGAGGAAGTATTTTTGATTTTATTATAGTGAAGTATAAGCAACTATGTCCCTTGTTCCTCTTGATGGCAATGCCCAACAGATAGGACAACACTGAGAAGTGTTTCTGCCATTTCCCACTCCATTCAAACCCAGAAAATGCAAAATCCAGCAAATATTAAATCAATTTACCGAAAAAATATCATCAAAATAATGAATGACCAAGATTAGGTACCACATGTGATGTCAGGACGAAGGAGTAATTTTTAAGAAGAAAGTTTAAGGTTATGCAACACATTGAAGGGTTGTTTGATGCATTTAAAGCAATATTGCAACAAGTAAAATTATAATAAGGAACATAATACATTTATTAAGTAGATATTATGGAATAGGGTGAGAGAACTATGTAAGCAAACTCAACAAGATACAAGTAAAAATTACTAACCGGGAATGTGACCATATATGTTTGTATTTATTATAAAGTTCATAACAAAGTTCATCTTTGCAATATCCGACATTGCTCAAGACCATCAGCAACTGCTGGTGCGGATCAACAACACTTCCAGGCATAAGATCTAAAGACATTTCTGAGTTTTCAAAAGAATGTCCGTTGGGTAAATATGAACTTTCCCTGTTAGATCTACTTTGCGTCAACTCAGTTCCAATACGTTCAAGATGCCCTAAAAGATCCAATAGAATGCAAATTTCAATCACTAAACTGAAGCATATTTGAAACATTATTGACGAGCATAAATCAGGGGTCAAAAATATAACTAGTCATCCTACTACTATTTCTCTTTCTACAATAGGATCTTTCTTTTTTTTTTTTTTTTTTGGTGGGGGTGGGGGGTTGGGGGGGAGGGGTTAAGAACAGCAAGATCTCCTTTGTTTCACATTACCAGCAAAATCCAGGAAGCAATTCAAAGCGGATAATCTAACAGACTCTTGAATTTCATGAAAAGGAATAAAGATATCCTCTGTCTTTGCTGCCTCGCTCTTTAATGTCTGAAGCATCCTGGAAATTATAGCACAAGATCCATGTTATGAGCAAAAAGAGTCCCTAGATTACTGTTCCTAAAAAAATAGATATAACTCATAATGCAAGTTACATAAAAGGAAGAAAGAAATGAAATAACCAATATTCTGATAAAAGGGTGTATACTCCATAAACAAATCCTAGAAAAACAATAGGGCATCCAAAAAAACAAAATTTCCTATCCTAGTTAATGGTGGAATTAAAGGGTTAGCCAATGCAAAACAAGTGCCAATGGGTAAACAAAATGCTCTCTTTGCACTCGCTTCAAAAATGGCATCCTATGTCATTGCCTAATGCTTTTGCAATATTCATGGAATACACATGCAAATAATAGAAAAGGAGATAGACTCAAATAAGTTCACCAATTATACGCCTTATACAGATAACCACATCATTTTCTACAACAAAGTGCCTCACATATTTTCTAGACTTTGGAATGGACAAATGGCGCTCATCTGCCCATATCAGCTTATGTTGTACAGAGTATAACAAGAACAGCAAGAGTAACATAAGGACATAAGTCACATAACAAAACCTATCTGTATTGATTGAATGTTACCTACAAGAAGCAATTATCTCATTGTGTATTAATGTATTTATTATTAGATGGGTTTCCAAAGGTCCAGGAGGTCCAACTGTACACAACCTTAAGTTTGGTCATTTTAAGACAACAGAGGCTATAGAGACAAAACTACATGCAAACTCCCCAGAGTCTGATTCCATTTATAAATATAAAAAAGAAAAAATCTTAAAGACAATGTCAAGGAAGAGGGAAAAAATTGCTATACTTAAAAGAATTGATAGGTCCCAAATCCCAAGTACATCCAAACAGATTACAGAACATGTACTTAAAACCTATCATTTATAAATAATTATTTCATTTCCTGGTATACACTGGTACTTACTGGCTGACTTGATTTAATGCTGATATCGTAATCGACCGGAATGCTAGAGGCAAGTAAGAGATCCTGTATGGAGATTTATTTCTTTCAATTATTGAGACTGCGACCCATGTTTCATCTCTTGACAAGTCTTCAATAGTAGTCCTCATCCATGAACAAAGCCTCATAATATAAGTCTTTGAAACTTCTGCATGAACAGCTCTGAGTGCCATAACTGTGAAAATAGAGAGCAAACTCTGAGAATTGCTTGATTAACAGATGCAGCAGGTGGGTTAAACAAAGAAAGTGCGTGAGATACCAATGATAGCAGGGGCTGATTCTTTGACTTCTAAAGCCTGGCAAGCTTTAGATACTTCTTTTATGGAGTCGCACATATATGGCCGAAGGATATTCGACTCTTCAAATTCACGAAATGTGTCGAGCACCTGCATTATGGTAAAAACAATAAGGACTTACACAAAAGGTCACCATTACGCAAATCGTTGGCTTTAAAGAAAAATGACGGATCAATGTATGACAATGTTATTCATATCAAAGTCCAGAAAAACAATTGCAAGGGTAAAATTGTCTAGATCAGCCCTGTTCCTACCATCAAAGAAGCTACTATGTGGTTAGAATGGGAAGGTGGAGTCATGCATAAAGGATAACTAAGGTTTTCATAAGATTCTAATAAAAATCCTTTTAAGAAATGTGCTACCTTCTGCACTTCCTGTTAGTATTTTCATATGAGATAGCTTCAACATCTTCCACAATCATAGAGTGAAACCATCCGATACATACTTATACTTACTCCACTCCATTTTACTTGCAAAACTAAGAGTTTCACGGTTGCCAATGCACAATTTAAACCATTAATACCTTTGGTTGAGTTTTGGTAAAAATTGAGAAGAATCCAACAAGATCCCCAAATGACTATGTTTTTCTTCCATATAAATCACAATTATGACGTAATAGGAGAGAGTATGAATAGTGCCAAAATCCTAATGTTGCAACTAAAATGGAGCAGAGGAAGTATAAGAATACCTATAGGGCTACCAAAAAACACGAGTGATTAAAAAAATCAAAAGAAAAATTCACACAATGAAACGAAGTGATTGTATGGCAGTAAGTAATAACGTCCACACCCATTCTTTTAAATGCCTTTTAAATTCACCTTTTCTTTAGGCCAATTACCATAAATCAAACCTCGTGTTCTACATTTAAATCAGTCAGCATTTTAAAGTCCCAATAGGTTAACAATCTCCAGCCTTCTCTCTGAAATATCCAGCCTAAGGGAGAAAGATTGAATAGATGAGAGAAGAGTACAGGTGAATTAGTAGGAACAATAAATATAAGAGAGTAGAAAAAATTATCGAGCAGAAATAATTAACACAAAACTCAAGAAGGTTTCTCCTCCATCAAGAATGAAAAAACAAAATAAAATAGGGGGAAAAAAAGGAACCAAGTATAAAGAAGAGAGAGAGACTGATGCCATCCAGCTCCGAAAAGAGGGAGTGGCAAAAATTGGAGGTTAAAGTTATAAGCTTTCTCAGATACAAGGGTTTTCAGATACAAGGTTTTAAGATTCCAATGAGAAGGTTCTATACATACAAAGGAAGCGGCTCAAGGTACGTAAACCAGAAAACTGATTCCCAGATAATATTGTTTAGATTTCGGAAAAATTCCGTAGGTGGCTAAAGCTTTTAGTCACCAGATAACAATTCACAAGAGCACTGAATAAGTTTTTAATTGAACGTCTCACCATAAGAAAGCTCATACACCACCACAGATAGATAAATGCAATCTTTCAGCGAAAGTGCCCAATTAATTGGATGCAGAGCTTTTCTTTTCCTTCACTGTGGCAGCTGTAATATGGTACTGACTTTTTGTCTCAGAGGAAAGCTCTGGACTCTTGTTTCATTATGGAGTAAAACGCTGGTGAGCTGGTTTGGTTTGCGGAGGAAAAGCAATCTTAAGGAGCTGAGGCGTGATTTTATGTCTATGATTCATTGATTTGGGTGCTTTTGGTATAGCCATCATGATTTATCTTGTGTTAAGGTTAATGAGATATTACAAGACCATGTGATCTTAAGCTTTTATGCAGTCATGATGCTTTTCCAAATTTTTATTGTGTCTGATGTCAAGCGTAAAAGGCATACCTTTTTTTTCTTTTCTTTTTTTAATTTTAAAAAAGTATCCCTCTATTTTACTATGAAATTTCCGGTTCTTTCTTCTCAACTTATATGTTTAATTTTTATCAAGAAAATCCCGGGAAAATAGTCTGCTTCAGCCATCGTTGTTTCAGCCTTAGTTTGAAAAGGCGCAAGGTTCAAAGAGTTCTCGGAACTTAGGCGCACCTAAAGTGCCTAAAACCTCCAAAATCATTTCAAGACCAAAATTTGTACCTGAAGCTACATAGCATTTATATTATAAAGAAAAAAAAACGACAGAATATAGAAAGCAGATTAAAAATAAGAGATAAGACATCGAATAAAACATAAAGATCCGAGAAAATAGAGAAGCAAAAAATAAAGCAGAAAAAAGGGAAAAAGAAAAAAAAAGGTAAAGTCGCAGAGAAAAAAGAGGAAGAAGTGAAGAACAAACAAAAAAAAGGGAAACAAAAGAGAAGAAAGAAGACAGGTGGTTTTGTGGTGACAGCTGTTGGTTGTGTAGGGCAAATAGCAGTCCCCAGTCTTCCCACTCCTCTTCAATGCTAGGGTTTTCAATTTACAATTGAATTAGGGATTAATTGTTTTCTCTTTCCTCTTGTCTAATTATAGGACCGCTGAGGGGTTTTAAAAATGCGTGTGGTTTTTTTTTAAGAAAAAAAAATAAAAAATAAATAAAAAAATCTGTGACAACTTTGACAAGTCAGCAGCAGCCAGAGCCTTAAACCATAAAGCGACAAAGGCGCAACGGCACTGAGGCACACCAAGGCATGCTTTTTGTAGGTGCTTGCACCTGAATCAGTTAAAGCCCACTGACCTGCGCTTTAGTGAGTTTTGCGCCTAGGCATGCTTTTTACCAAAATTAATTCACTAGCAGACTACAAGATAGCCTAAACTTTCAAGATAAGCCACTACTTCAACTTTGGAGGTAGTCCTTGCAATGAGTACATTTACCACCCACTATGAATCAAGATGTTGCTGGAGAAGTCTAAAGATTTGCATAGGTGTAACCTTAATCTGACCCAACAATCATGGCCATTTCAGGAGAGCTGCTTAAAAGTTATTCGTGCAATAAATAGTAAATTATTGAGAGTGAGGGATAGCTCAAGTGGTTAGAGCTCCCTCCCGATTCCAGGGATCCTGGGATCGATTCTCATCTCCACCCTTGTGGCTCTCTAAACACCAAAAATAAATAGTATATTATTTAGAGGTTTTAAAGATTATCTCATTATCTCCTCTGCAGACATGGACACATGGTACTTACCATGATTTTGCCAGTATGGTCAGCAAAGCCTCAGAGATTTTTGACAACCTTGATTATCTTTGGCTCACTAACCATCAGATATCCATGAAAGAAAACAAGTTGACAGATAATTGCTGCTACGATCACATAGTTGACTGAGGTTTCTAATCAAGTACAAAAATGTTGAGATCAGAAGGTTTTGAGAAGGCATACCTTATCCTCGTAAAGAGATATTGTACTACGCATCATTCCAGAAACTTCATCAAGAGAATGACTTGAGTATTTGGCATCACCAACTTTTTCGTCAATCTTATTTGAGGTAGTGGCATTGGATTCAGTAGCAACATGGGAAGACTGGAATCAAATCATAAACATTAATTCAATTCAAGGTGGTAATTGGCCACACTTAAAACTGAATTTGACCAGTAAATTAAAAAAAAAATTAAAAATCTAAATAATGCAGTCTGTAATACACTGTAATCGATGTCATGCTGTGAAACAGCCTTCAATTTCTTGCATGTGCGCATATGATTTTATAACTAGTCCTTTGGTATATGGGACCAGAAGTCTTATAGGTATCCTTACAAGAACAAATTTTCTTTTCCCAAAAAGGGCTATATAGGTTTGATCCAATTTATATAAAATATAACATATATACAAACAAACAGAACGACATAATGCTTGATTGTGATCCCACCTTAAGAAAATAAAAAAAAAAAACTAGGAACAAACACATGCTCAATAAAAATCAAAATACTATCTTGATCTTGGACTCCTACACTATATGAAAGGCGTGTAAGGAAACAATTTGCTATATAGCTCCATTCGGAAGTACCTCATTGAGTTGAAAAGGTAGCCAAAATGAAAATTACACGAATCTACAACAGACCCAGACATCATTAGCATGGAAGAGAACAGCTAAGCATTAACATGTATATAACCCCCCCCCCACACACACACACACACACACCAAAAGTAATTCCCATTAGAGAGAAGGAAACTTGGTGTACCTTTGCAAATTTTCCACTGAAAACTGAAAGTGCTATTTTCCAGAAGGCTGGTAAGTAATGAATAAGAACAGATGTTAGCTTTTGGATGTACTTTTTTTTCAAAGCATCAACCTCTTCCCCAGTCAATTCCACTGAAGGAGCGTCTCCGGCAAGGTCAGCGATACCATTTGTGTCTGGCTGATATGAAAAAGGTTAAATGGTTATGCATTATACACATCAAATGCATTTTGTGTCCTTTGCAAAGATGCAGTTTGACAGAATCAAGATTCAACTCACTGATTGACTAGGCCCCTGCAGTATCTGTTTCCACTTGGCATCAGAGGCAGCACGTTCACGTATATCATTTTGCAATGCATCAAGCCTTGCTTCATAATCATAGGTGCACTTTTCAAGCAAGCCTCTGATTCTTTGGTTCTGCAACGTTGGCCTTAGTATTATAAGTTAAACTAGATTTCAACCTAAAAGTTAAATAAGCAAACTAAATAATCCCAACCTTGGGGAAAGATCAACATTAACCAATTATGACTAGTTTAGAGGCGATTACCAAAAGACCCACAGTGAAAGCATTCATGGAAAAGAGCATTAAAAAAGAGGAAGGAAATATTTTAAGAGCATTAATCACACAATTTCCAGATATTTTAGTAAACTCACAGCACACTAACAGTTTGTTTGGATAAAGAAAAGGGAAGGAAAAGATGGGGAGGGAGGGGAAGAGGAGAGAAGGGGAAGGGAGGGGAGGGAAAAATAATGAATTTTCTTTCCAAATTTCTTCATTTTTGGAGAGATCAATTTCTTACAATTTAATCCCTCCATTTCTCTCCCCTCGAATTCCCTTCCTTCCTCATTTGTTATCCAAATGAAAGAAATTCAATCCCTCCATTTCCTTCCCTTCCTTTCCCTCTATCTCCTTCAATCCAAACACACTCTAAAAGGCCTAAAGTTGGAGAAGAAAGCAAAAGGCAACAAAATTAAAAACACAACAAATGACTAAATTGTTACTCAGTAGTTTTTAACATCGTTTAGAATAAACAATAAAGCATAGAATGAATGAATTATGGAAGCAAATAGCATAGCATTGGTACATTAGACATCATGAGATTGTAGTGTATCTAACCTGCAAGTTCAGATAATGCCACACAGGATCTGATTCAGGTTCTAGCTCCAAAAGCAGCCTCACAGTGTTTTCAAGCTATAAGAAGCAATAAAGGTTAACCATTTTGCATTATCAGACTACCAATTTAGGTGAAGAGTATCAGAGTACAGATATTTGGAAAAATCAATGAAACATACAGAGCAAATAATTAATTAAACCCCCCCCCCCAACAACAGAAAATCACATTCCAATATGCAAATTACCACCTTGTCAAGTTGTCATCTTGTCACCACAATAAATAGGTATGTAAAAAAAATACAAAGAACCTAGCAGCTAGGTTAATTAGGAGCGGAGAACTACCGATACAGTTTCACCAATATCGGTAATTGCCATATTCAGTCCTGAAGATGCTATACGGGTTCAGATGAAAGAGGTGTATGGGGTCTTATATGTAAGAATTACTCACCTACCAGTCTACCACAGTGTACACAAAAAGGCCAAAGAACTATGAACTGAACCTCACATGATTTATTCCTTCAGGTATATTTACGAACTTCCCATACTCACTAGAGACACCATATATGAATTGTGTTTCAACTCCTTCAAGTCCTGCTCATGAACTAATCGAACACGCCTGCTAGTGAGCATAATCCATCTTAAGAACAAAATATCTAATCCTTGATACTCAAGAGTTGGAAGACCCTCAGACAACATGAGTTCATTTCAGAATAATCAATTAAATTCTTCCTTAAAACTTGAAATTCAAGAAAACAAGTTACTTATTCCAGACATCAAAACACATCAAATGATAACAAAGAAGCTTTTTTTTTTTTTTAGGCACTATTCCCAGTTCATATACTCCCTCTGGTATTGAGTTCTATTTACTTTCCCTCTTGTGTTCTTACACACTTTTACTTTATTCCTCTTATGGGAACCTTTTCATTCATCGTTTATCATCTCCTACCCCACCTTGTGGGACCCTGTTACATCAAATAATCCCTTATTGTCTACATCACTACTTCTAGAAATGAAAGTACCCACATGGGTGAGTAGTCCCTCTCCCAAGTTCTCCTATAATTGCTAGTTGCTACTATATTTGCATAGGAGCACTAATTTTGACCACATCTTTCTAAGAATATTTAAAATTATTTCATATAATGTATAATGTAATCACATTAGTCTCCACGACTATTATATATATATATATATATATATATATATATATAGATAGATAGAGAGATAGATTATTAAAGATATAAATGTCAAAGTTAAGTGTTGACAAACATGAAAGTCAAACTATTGCAATTAAAATCAATAACAAATTTTAAAAAGTTTACTAAAGATAAATGAAAACTACTGTAATTTACAAGGTTACTTCCAACCTGTTGGTCAAGATTGGCGCCTAGTAGACCTGCCAAATATTAATCTAGCTTGAAACTTACATTACCAGACCTAAAATATACCTAACTCACAAGAATAACAGGTCTCGCGGAAAATGCATGCAACTGAAAAGTGTAAATCATGACCTTTCCAGTCCAAGGATCAACACTCGTCGACAGAAGCTAATGAACTATGGAATTTCTAAAACAACTAGCAGAAATAAGTGAGGTTAATGACTTTAAATTAAAGTGTGAACTTACATCTGTTAAATCTATCTGTGGATCTTCCATAGTTTTGTAAAGTGTTCCCTTGAACTCATGCATCACTTTTTCGACCTCCTCAAGTACACGTTTCAATATTCCAATCTGAAAATCAATCAAAATCATATGGCTTATTAAGTTGGACTAACAAAAATAAAATAAAAAAATATATAGCATGCAGAAAACATGCTTTAAAATCAGTTATCTGCTGGAAGTTCTCCGCAACACAAACTATTGTACATACTCAAAGGAACAATAAATATAATTGTAGGCAAACATATAGATCAAAACAAAGCAGTACATTATGTATAGGGCGTTCTGTGATGAATATTGAACTTGACATTCCGAAAAATGCTGACAATAATGTGAATTTTTAAATATTTCCACGGCATCTGTGAGATGCTGTAATTTTACTATATCAGCTACTATGTTAGTCTTTTATTACAACTGGTCCACATAAAAGCTTAGAATCTCATAATTCATCATTATCAATTAATTAGAACCTCCTACCTTTTATACAAAATAACAAAAATAAGTTTCTAAAAGTTATACTTACTACACTCTCTTTTACCATTTGGGGTTAGACTCTTACCAATACATAGCATTCACCATAAATATTTTTGATTATCTTTTCGTAGAAATTATAATGAGATGAATCTATCAAGATCCCACATGACTACATTATTCCTTGCTTACAAATCACAATATGTGGTCAAAGAACAAAGAGATTAATAAGATGAAAACCTTCCAAAATTCTTGAACTGCAATAATAAAGGTTTTTTTCAAGAAAATAAATAACATTCGCGTCATATTGACTGGCAAAGTGCATCATAAAACCTACAAGATGATGTTTACAAAAATCTAAAAATGTCAAAGTCTAACATAGAGGATTTCCACCCCCTCTCCCCTCTCCAATGAAAGGAAAAAAGTTATAAATTCATGATTATTTAATATATCTACAAAGAGAAAATGTTGCAAATGTATCTCAATTTTAAAGAGCAAAGGTGTTTATAGCCATAAAGAGAAATGAAAAGAAGAGTATAAGGTAATGTCTTTTTAACCTAATATAAGGTGTTTTGTTATAAATTATACGGGGTTTATTCTTGTCTACTAAATCCTAGTCTGGTTTGGTTTGGTTTGATCTATCTCCAGGTATTGACTGAAAAGTATTTGTACGCTAATATACATAAAATTATTATTATCAAGTGGGATCTTATTAGACGTCCTAATTTGTATTTTCCAGATAGCTAAGTTCCGTAGCTTTAATTAATATACAATATTCCATATATTTGGCAATAAGTAAGCATAAATAAAAAGGTCCGTTTTCGTATGAATTGTGGCTTGATTGTGATAATAAACCGTATATTCCTGAACGAATAAAATATTGTCAAATTCCATATATTTGGCAGTAATTATACACACATACATAGATGAAAACAAATAATAAAACCACTTTTCACATTTCACACACTAATTATTATTCTTTTAACCTTCTTCTGAGGTCAAAAGAAACTAGCAGCAAGGGGCATACATCATAACTAGATAAAAGATGTCCACTAAAGAGAAACCATGCATAGAGAAAATTTCCGGAACATTTTTCAACAATTTGACAATATGCACCAAACTTTATAAAATAAAAAAATCAAATAAAAAAAAAATCAACAAAAACCATTTCATAAGATAAGCTTTTTTTTTTAACAGCAGGGTTTACAGGATCCATTTTCAATCACAAAGTAGAAAAGACGCAACTGTTAACATACATGAGATGGCAGCGCAATTGACTTTGCCTTCTTATACTCCCTAACCGCCAAATCATGTTCACCATTGCTGATACTAGCACGAATTGTACTAGGCAAGTTGAAGAGTGTGCGAAACCTCTGGAGCATTCCTTGAACAGACCTGATCTTCTCTGCTTGAGCCTGACATGCATAAATGCACATACAGATCAATATGGCTCACGATGTGAATGAGAACATTTCAAACTAACAACATTCCACATACTAACCTGCCTCTCAAACAGGGGCTCAAAAGCACGGGTAGCATGTGAACTCACTCCCTGAATGATATTATATAGGTGCATAGTCCCAGCACCCTCTGGGTCTTCTTCAAATCGTTTCAGCTTTGATTCAATATCTACTCAAGAATTTCCGCTGATAATTAGGCAATTGCAAAGCTAATACTGCTTATGAATCAAATTGAGCAGCAATAATAGATAAAACAATCAGAATCCTGCACTAACATACCATCAATGGTTGTCTTGCATGAGACAAAACAATCAAAATTTTCCTTCACCAAATTTTTTCTCTGCTGAGTGCGACCTTTAAGGTCTGTTTTAATAGCATGAGCACCAGCCTCTAGATCAGCTGCACTTGTATCTTGGTGAATCCGAGAAAGGAATAACTTCGCATCAAATTTTTCTGAAAAATACGCCAGCTTTTCTGCAAATAAAACAAATAAACTTGAGGATACCTAAAATGTTATTCTCGCGTAAACAGCCTATAAAAAAACATTTTTTTAAAAAAAAGGCTAGGAGTATAAAAAGGAAGACATTCTGTGCAGGTTATCAATGGTTAACTAGACCTTATTAAAGAATTTTGGAAAATATTAACAATCAAGGAAATCGCAAGAATCCAAATGTTACTTGGGAGTATGCTGAATTAATTCAATATATATAAATGCCTCCTCAAACAAAGTGACGAAATAAGATATATACCACGAAGATCATTATTAATATTATCTCTTTCTCTCGAGGGAGAGCTGTCCGAAGTATCTGTTATAAGCTTCAATGTTCTGTTGTCTATTATCCTGCAAAAATGAAAAACTTGGGTTAGCATAGAGGGTGAGGGAGGTCACCGGAGGAAGAACTGTGGAGTGGTGGGCTGCAGTAGAAGAGTGAGAAGGAAGAGATTATAAAAAAGTACAGCCTAAGAGAATGTAACATGGGTCTCATATAATGGAGTTCTAGACAGTTTCTGTTACGTGGTAGCAGAACCTTGACATTTCATACAACCGATAACAAATTCAATTAGAATTGTTGCTGGTGATAATTGGTTATAAAAGACAAACACAATGACAATGAACTCGCAAAAGCCCACAAGTTGCTTACACTCCTTTATATATATATATATATATATCGATCTTTTTATCTAGCTTCCCATTTGGGGGTGGGAGGGTATGTGGTTATCTAGGTGATATGTAATTGCAACACTTTTAGTTTTGCACTATTCAGTTGTTAACTTTGACCATTTAATTTATACTAATTTATTGAAAGCAAATGCCATAAAAAAGTATGTTACCAAATTAGTTCAATTGAACACTTCTATAATAATAACTTTTTCTATTTTTTTATTTATAGAAAATTAAAGATATTAGTGATCAAAATTGTGCATCGGCAAGCAATGCTAGTCAAAGCGGTGGGGGTGGGGGTGTTAGATAAGCAACAACAATCAGCATCATCAAAAGAGCATAAGCAATTACTAAGTGTAAGAAAACGTGAAAAGATTCTGAACATGACAGTCAACAAAGATTACCCTAATCCTAGTGGATCAATACACTCCATGCCTCGTGGAAACGACTGTAAATTTGCCAGGCCCTTTTTGCCCAATGCCGAAGGTTTATGCTCAACTTTCGGAACCACTGGCACTGGTACTGCTCTAGCCTCACGCATCTCTCGAACTCTACGAGCAAGCTGACAAACAAAGATCATTATTTTCGTGATGACTGTCCAAAGACTTTGACAGAACATAATACACTATCAACTGCCAGAATAATTGTCAGGAAATATAACAAGAAAACAATCATACACAAAAATAGCATGCTTAATCAACCTAAAGAATAGACCTGAGTCACAAGCACACAACAAACCCAAATGTACCAAGACAGAATAACAGAACAGAAAATCAACACATTGCAGAGGCAAAGTTTCATTTTTAGAATAAGAAAAGGTTTGACCTAGGTTTCAAAGGTACATAGCTTCTCTACCCCACCCTACCCCCAATGGACATATACTTCATGCCTTGTCTTATTCTATTACCTCTTTTAACCATTTGCCTAGAGATTTTTAAAATAGAACATCAACAGATGCAGGTTAAAGAAGAAATTCACATACTCCCTAGTCCACGTAGCCACATCTTGTTTGGAGAAAGAAAATGTCACCCGAGGATAGAGAAAAGGAGTAAAGAGAAAACAATATTATTATAGTAGTCATATACTCATATGCTGAGAGGGCTCTCTCTCTCTCTCTCTCTCTCTCTCTCTCTCTCTCTCTCTCTCTCTCTCTCTCTCTCTCTCTCTCTCTCTCTCTCTCTCTCTCATGGCCTATACATGCAATAGTGAACGAGTGCATTTCTCTCTCCTCGATTTAGGGTTTATATATGGCTTACACAAGCAGTCGTATCCAACTGTATTTGTCTCTCAATTTGTGGCTTGCATTCAAGTGCATCATGCCAAATCCTCGGTTTCTGGCTTACACAAGTAATGGTGTCCAAGTGCATTTCTTTCTCCTCACTTTATGGCATACACAAGTAGTTGTGTCCGAGTGCATTTCTCTCTCATCAATTAATGACTTATTGACTTACGTCTGAGTGCATTTTGACAGAACTAACCTGGATTTTGTACTGAAGTTAGGGTCCTGATGTGTCAGCACGAGTACGAAAAGCTATCTACTGAGTCCAAGTAACATTGATAGAGGAAACTGGTCACATAATAAGCACAAGAGACCAAAAACAACAGTAATATAAATCAAATTATCAGTCCCCATTATAAAAATTCTTCAGCAGTAAAAAAAAAAATACTAATTCCCTAGTAAAATAGAAAAATGTTCACAGAGGCAAACATATTCGACCACTTTACGTCCTTGTAGGTTTCAATCGTATACCTTGAGGTTAGTGAGCATACAGCAAGATACCTTAGTATGTCAATGATATCTCACTGGCAACATAGAGAGGAAGTAGCAAATTTCCCTAGCTCTGGCAACTGTGCAGATAACCCCCTTAATTTTAGAGGGAGCAATTTAGCTTCGTAAGTTCACGCCATATTTCAATGTGCCTTCCGCTATTTATCTCATTTTTTAGGCATATTGTCACCGGGGAAGAAACATGACCTTATTGGATTGTGATAAACTCTCATAAAATTAAATACCTTAGGTTTTACTAGTAACTGATTGTAGCATTGCAAATTGAGACATCCAAAATACAGTTTCAAGCATAGAGAACACCCACACAGATATATAGTATGGTAATAAGAATCTTCAAAAAGTAACATAAATTCATGATTTTCAAAGGAGATAAGTGGACATACAGAATCCGCTTCCTGCCAATCATTAATAATTTCATTTTGGGAGGGAGACTTGCAACCTAAGTTAGCAACCCTGAATTTATTACTAATGTCATCCAGTTCTTCGTCTTTGACATCCCTAAATAAGAGAAAAAAAACGTTTCGCTAACTTCCTTGTCATTGTTCTAAACAAAATTCCTTATCAACTTACTATTTCAAAAGAAAAATTTGCTTCCCTTGAAATATTGGAATTAGTGAGTGTTAAAGAGGAAGTCAATATTGCTACAATTAACTAAAATTCCATAATTCACACTTCATTAAGCATAACCCGAGTTGTTGATCGCATTCAATATTATGTCCCATTTGCTTCTTCTCTTTCATATCTTCTCCACATTTTCCGAATTCCAATCACTACTCAGTTACACTAACAGAGTATCAGCAAATTTCATAACTTGGCATAACAGCAAGATCACACATTGTGGCAATCACATTAACACTCAATACAAATCAACAAAACGAAAAGAACCCGAAAATTCCCAAATCATAAAACAGCTAAAAAACGCAATTAAACCCAAAATTAGCAAATGCAGCATCAATTCAAAGCTGAAAAACTTACCTCAGACTCATCCACACGCTTCCAGCTATCAGGCTCACCACCAGCCCACTGCGAATCGGCGTCATCCTTAGAAGCTTTAGCTCTACTCCTCCCCTTACCACCACCACCGCCGCCACCATAAGTAGACGCTTTCGACGACTCCTCATCGCCCGAAGAAATACTCAACATCTCAACCTCAGAATCATCATCTTCATCCATAGACTTGGTATAATTCCTTTGTCTAGGGTTAGGGTTTTTACTCGCCGACGACGACCCTTTATTCGGCGGAGGTTGGACGTAATTCGCCACCGGTTTGGACGATTTTGATAGCGGTTTCTGGTAATTGGTGTCTCGTTCAGCTTGTTCCTTCAATGCCATCTGAAGGAGCTCATCTTCGTCGAGATCTTCGCTGTCGGTCGACATTGAAGCTTCTTCTGCGCGTTAATGGAGGAATTGAGTAGAGGAAATTCGTAGATCTGGTGTTGCAGAGGTTGAGGAAGATGATGATGAAGGATGATTTCTAGGAGTTGATTAATAATGGGGGTAAAAATGGAGGAGAATTGAGGAAAAGTTCAAAGGTGGAGGAGAGAGAAAATTAGAAATAAATTTGGAAAGGAAATTGTATTGTCTAACTGTAAATGCCACGTGTTTCAGATAAAAAAATTGTAAATGCCACGTCTTTGACTCCTTTAGCCACGGTGGCATAATGGAAATACTTATTTTTCCATTTTTTTTATTATTTTCTTTAAAAAAAATTGTAATGAACGAAATTAGAGTGATTCGAATGACAGATGGGTATAATTTTGTTGATTACGCACTATATGTGTTTCAGTTGGAGCGAATATGGGTATGATTTTAATGGATAGAAGGCAGGTATGGATATTAAAAGTCATACTCGCCATCAGTAGTGGTGGTTTTGAAATTACACATCATATATGTCTTACCCACTCGACTGACTTGTCTGTCTAATCTCCACTTTGTATTCACGACTATTTAAGTATTTATAAAATTAAATAGGTTCAACTAGGTGTAAATGGGTAACTAGGGCCACTAGGCGGATAATAAACATGTAGACATGTGTGGATATCCACTTGGGTGATGAAGCTGACGTAGATTTATATTTTTATCCACTTGTGCGGGTATGGATATTAATATTGGTAAATATACTCGCCATAGGTAATATTGGTAAATAGTGGATATAGAGATATTAGGTGGGTAACTGGGTATGGGAGAAGGAGTTGTCATCCCTAAAATTACCATGAAATAATTAACTATGAGTAGAAATTAAATGTGGTAATGCTATATTGAATATGTCCTCCTAAAGGATGCATCCAGGTTTATGTCATTCCAACTTCCATGTTATTGTTTCATAGAGTCTGGTTTTTCATTTCAATTAAAATTGGGAAGTTATTAGTATAGATGTTTTCTTATATGGATAATTTGGTTAAAGGTTTGAGTAATATCTTGTATTTGGGAAGGAACTTGAATGATATTTTGTTGTGCATGTTAAATTTAAGTGGAGCTTTGAGTGGGAGAAAGAGTAATGCTTTAAGTAAAGCACGCTTAAGAGAAAACTTCGAGTAAACAGAAAGAAAGTAAAATTCTAAACTTGTTAGTATTGGCTAATGTGTGTGCGACATGTCAAGCAAGATGCCATGTCACTTGCTAAGTTAATTTTAATCATGTTGCGCCAAAACTTCAATCAAGTAATTTTATGCAATCCTTCCGATAACCATTCAAAAAGTTAAAATATTTTAATTCCACCAAAACCTTAATATAAATTTTAGAAAATAACACCTAAAAAAAACCCCAAATTTTGATTATAACACCACAAAAAAATAAACTTTTATTATAACACCACAAAAAAAAACCGAAAAAATTGGTTTCACCACCACTTAACTTTGTCATCCAAAAAAAACGTTAAGTGGGCCCCCACATAGTACACGTGTCAATCAACTATTAGATTAAAAAAAATAAAAAAAAAACTTTAAAATAAAAAAGAAAACCCCCTGCTAGCCCCTCCCCCACCGGACGACCTCCCCCCAACCAGAAACCACTAGCCCCCCTCCCCTCCCCTCCCCACCCCCAATTCCACTGAAATTCAACCTGCAGCCCCCGAAACCCACCCCACAGCCACCTAAACCTCACCTCACCTACCTCCTTACAACCACAAACCACCCCCAAAGAGCCTCCTCTCTGTTTCGCCCACCCTAAAACACGCCCTACCGCGGCCGTCACCCCAACCCAGCCCCCATCGCTGTCTCCCCGACCTGAAACCGTCGTCGACCCACCCAGACCCAACCCCTGACCGCCGAGTGTTTTTAATTTGTTGTGGTTGTGAAGGTGATAAGGCAGGGTTAGGGTGGTTTTCGGGGAGGGGGAAGGGAGGGTTTCGCCGGTTTTGGTGGGGCAGGAGTGCCGGCGACTTGGGTTAGGCAGTCGGCGGTGGGGGACAGGTGGTGCAGGTGGTGGGGTGGGCTTTGGTAGGTTGTTTAGGGTTTTTTTTCTTTTTTTTTTTTTTATTTTTTAAACCAATAGTATAGTGACACGTGTTTTTTATCCAATAAATAATTGACACGTGTACAATGTGGGGCCCACTAACGATTTTTTGGATGGAAAAGTTAAGTGGTGGTGAAACCATTTTTTTAATTTTTTTTTGTGGTGTTATAATCAAAGTTTTTTTTTTTTTTTAATGTGGGGCCCACTAACGTTAACTAGTTAACTACGCACCATTACAAAACAAGAAAATGAAATTTTTACAAGTTTTATATTGTTGCATACAATACAATATCTTGTGTACTTTTATGGGTACAACCTTATAGTAGTTATACATATATTGTCATATAGATGTAGGTTTTAAGTGATTGATAAAGTTAGTTATTGACTTACTTAGTTTTTAATAAATACTTTCTCTGTTTCTTTATAGTTGCAACACATACTTTATCACGGTATTTAAGAAAAGTGGACCTCACATGATATAACACACTTAAAATGAGGTTAAGAGGTATTAGGAGGATAACCAAGTGGACCATGAGATTTAAATAAAGATAATAACACAATTTTCACCATAATAACCTTCCTTTTACAGTGTGTTGCAACTATTGTGACGTTTCTATTTTAGAGAAGTGTTGCAAGTATAAAGAAACGGAGGAAGTAGTTAGAATCTTAATGTAACAGTCTATCTATCTATACTTGGTTTAAAAAACTCAAACCAATAGCATTATGTATCTCTTATCTCCTCATCTTTTTTTTACTGTATTAAAAAGTTTAGCACCCGTACATTGCATCAATTGTGATTTGGACAATCTGGAATCATGTCCGAGTAGCCAAGTAAAAGAGTGAAAAGAAGGTGATTTGCAAGATTTCAATTTAGCATTGGCATTAAGTATGAAATATACTCAGTAGTTGTTTGACAATTGATCAGTGCTCACACAAATGTACAATATTCCTACGTTATGCACATTTATGGGGCATATATATACTTGCACATAGTTTGCTTGTAACCACTGTATAATGTAGGAATTGCAACTTTGGATCCGATAGAAGCGATTTCAGGTGGATCCAACAAATGCTGAAGCTCAAGCATTCTTTGCTGCTGCAGCATACAGGGCTTTGATGTCTTCAACATCATCATAGCTTCCAAGAAATACCGGCGAGCGCTCGTGGATCTTCTTTGGGATCAAGTCAAGTGCCTGCCATAAACAATTACAGTAGATCAATCAGCAGTTGATAGGCTAAATTGTGTTCAGTTGAAATCAAGCATAATTATAATTTCAAAGTGATGAGCACAGCTATCTAATATTAAAGGGACAAGAAGATTAGGCAAGCCCCACCTATTAAGGAATTTTGAGTTGATCTCGGAAATCAATAAAACAGTCTTTATTAAAGTAAATTAAATATGCGGGGTAGTGCTTTTGAGACTAGTGGAGTTGTGGTACTACAAATTATTAATTGTAATAGTATTTCAAATGGATGATACTTTAGAGGCTTGTGGTGGTTGAGATCAGTAAAATTTTACCGATCCCTAAGACCAACCTATGTATTTAGTAACTTTTTGTTAAGTGGATTGTGGATACTTGTTGTCCCCATTACAGGTAGATATTGCTAGTTGCTAACTGATCAACTCTAAAACTGAGATATACAAAACCAAAAAGAATATAAGAATTTCATATATGCCAGCCTAAAAAGAGCAAGGTACATCTAGTGAATTACCCGCTCTTTGCCTGTAAAAGCTTGTCCGCCTGCTTGTTCCATTAAGAATGACATTGGAAAGACCTCGTAGAGAACTCTGATTCACATAATATAGCATAAACAAGATGTTAATAACAGTACTTGTAGCAAATTTCAGTATTTATGTACATACATATGACCCTTGAGTACAAGACATACCGTAGTTTTCCATCAGGGCTCTTCTTATCACCGGGGTACATAAAGATGCCACCATAAAGTAAAGTGCGATGAACATCGGCTACCATACTACATGAAATAGGTGAAATCTTTAGGGACGGTCCTTATTCTAACAAAATCACGCATACATAATTACATACATACAGATGCAGAGAACGAGCCTAATACACTTGTATAATCATAGCATTACCGCTAGCACAACAGGCACCACAATTCCATAGGACATGAATATGAAACAGAGGTTATTTAGGATGCTATAAGCACTATCATTGTAGCACCTTATGAAGTTTGAATGAAACATCTTGAAGGGTTTATTTGTAAAGCATAACAGCTGCTAGGAGCTTATATTGCAAGCCATACTAGATGCATGAATGCATTAGATAACCATCGGCCTGATCCCATTTCAACCCACTACCTTCCTTACTAAAGTAAAATAGCTCGTTGCTAAGCAAGCATTTCTATTAAAATTCAGTTGGTCAGGCAGCCGGCCCTTTTGTTAGCTCTTTCTACCCCACATCTTCCCTATGATTATGAATACATCTGTGTCTTTCAGTTCTATAGAATGGCAGCAATAAAGGCACAATTGGCGGTCTCTTACATTTCTATAATTTGTACAAGTTATAGATGCAACTGACAATATTCAACAAATGATCATTCAATCTTAGCAGGAGTAGCTATTTCATGATAAAGAATCACATTACCTTCCAATGTATCTGAGAGACTTTGGCGAAGAACCATCAGTGGGGAACTTACATTTTTCTACAAACCTAAAATAGGCAAGGGTTCAGTATAGCAACACCAAATAAAAGGACAATCATAGATTAAATAAAGGTCTACATACTTCGTTGTTGGGCCATCCCAATTCTTTGCATTGCCTTCATTCACTGAATAAATCTTACCTCTCTTTGGGATCTGCGCAAGAAAAAGAGAATCCAGATAATCAAAAAGAAAATAAAAGAGGCTAAAATCTTCTTAATGCATGCATCTCTTGCATACAACTCGTGAGATTATCATCCTGAAACAAAAAGTGCTCCGTTTACAGTTTCAGTCAATAAAATGAAGGTATTTGCTATTGCTAAACAGTATGGACTTCATTTGAAACTGAAACTGACAAACTGGCATAAGTTACAGTGATACTCTGATCGGTAGCCTACTTTTCAAAAGTTGGTTTCCACATGGTCATCTCTTGCAAAGCCAAGAGGCACAACAGGCTATTCACTCTTCTCGCCTCTCAACTTCTTTGTCGTTCTAATACTTCGAAACTAAGGATCCATGTATTTCCTTGTAATTGTTCTAAGACATCAGCTTGATCTTTTATAAGAAGGGAGGAAAACTGTAGCACCCATATGACTTTACTACCTGCTCTTGACACAGCACACTTCACTGCTGTATCTCCAAGAGGGTACTCTTAATCTTAAGTAACAGAGTATTTTACGATATTAATCATGTCTTTAAATCATACCTCTCTTGAAATTGCAAGGGATCAGCCCAAGCCTCGTATTCGTTTCACTTATGCAAGAAGGCCAAAAAATAATACTTGATGAGATGGAAGTTTGTTACGAAATCAGTTTTGGGGAGAGGGTAAAGTAGTAATTCAGGAATAAGTTTGTTATTTTGATTCCTTTTGCTAGCTGCTTCTAGAGTTTGTTAGCTTGCTTCATTTTTGGGTATTAATAGGAGTTTGGGGTCAAGGGGAATGCATGCAGAAATTTGTTGAGTTTGTTTTGGAGAGCACCTTCCTCTCGAAAGAAGGCCCTGTATTATTGAATTTTCTGTTTGATAATACAATCTATCCCTTGGCTGCCATTTCCTATCTCTATCTAGCTTGTTTACTTACTGTTTTCATACTAATCTCTAGTATAAATCTCTTTGGTGTCTAATTCTAGACAAGTAGACAAAGATGGTTACGGGTTAATTTGATTACTTAAATAAATCCTAAAGCAAAATTTTATTTACACCATCTCAGCAGTTCATATCTAAACCATACAGAAGCTAATTTAGCATACTTTTGTAAATACATGCACCAGTAAATGATGAGAGTGTACCTTGATGTTTGGATGAGTTAGAATATACTCTCCAAGAGATGGGTCTAGAGTGAAACCATTGACACCGCTTCCAGTGCTCAATACAAGCTGTAAAAACAGCAGAAATTGCCATGTTTATACGCAGAAATAATTGTGCAGACATGTGATCAGTAACGGAATAGAGAAAGAATAGAGGAGCAGGCTACCATTACATAATTCCTTGTTACTAACAAGTAGTAAATTTTGCACATTCAAACAGGTACCACATTGCTAGCAGATTGTAGAAATAATTCAGCACAATGACAAAACTAAGCAACTAAGAAGGAAATAATTAGTACCGTGCAAGAGCTCCCATACATGCAATAACCTGCTGCCACCATATGCTTTCCAGGTTGCAGGACCTCATCAAGAGTTACATTTTTGAAATCTTTGACCATGTAAATCCCAAAGATCTAAGTGAAATAAAACAAGCCAGCTTGTTAATTACATCACTGCACAGAATAAAGGTTATCAAGATTATAAAATAGCTCCAACAGAGAAACATTGCAAAGGCTGAGATGCATTACTGTGCCAATTGAAACACCACAATCGATGTTGGAAGATCCATCCAGAGGATCAAATACAACACAATACCTGAAAAACCAAGGTGTAGAGTTCATCTTAAACGTCTAACATAAGCAAAGATGATCATAATGAAACAATTGTACTTGGCATGTGATCTTTTTTTGTAGTTTGTAAAGAAAGAAATTGCACACAGCAAATAGGGAACCAGTAGGGGAGTGGCTATACTCACTTTCCACGTAGAGCTGGCTCAACGAATGTTGCCTCTTCATCCTCCTCGGAAACAAGAATGCACTGCAAACACGTTTCATCTTTTAGTAGATATTACTTAAGGAATTCATCATAAGAACCAAGGCTAAGAATCTCGATCACTACTTACAGTTCGGCCACTACTTGTTAAGGCATTGACAAAAACTTCATTTGAGAGCACATCTAGCTTCTTTTGCTCTTCACCCTAATGTATAATACAATCAAAAGAACATTAAACAACTGGGAAATTTTACAATGTGTCTGAGTGTCTAACAAAAATTATCTTTGAAATGTTAATACCTGAACATTAGTTTCTCCTGCAAGTCCTAGGAGCTTGGCAAGACCAGCCTGTTAAGTAAACATTGATAATATAAATAATGAATGTTTATCCAAAACTTAGAATTAAAAATATGTTCTCTTCACCTTGTTTTTGAAACTTATTCAATCATACCAAATAAAACAGAAATGAAAACTGAAATTTTCACACCAAACCAGATCACATTTTTTTCCAATTGTTTATTGTCAAAATATATCAATTTTTTTTTTTCCTATTATATTGGTGTACAAATATGATTGAAATTCAGGCAAATAGGAGCAGATCAGACCAAACCACAAATTAGACTAAATTAGAGCTTATAAAATTCAAATCAAAGCACATTATATCAAGTGAAGATAACACATCCTAAATCACGTCCATACCATTCCCTTTTGTGACTCTCTATACACTGAAAGATTAAAAATTATACCCCAAATCTAGGATCAAATCCGGTCAACTTCACTTCCCTTGCATGCGCGTGTATAAAGATCTAAACAGATCATTGATGTAGACCGGATTTAATCCTAAGACACCACCTCCTAAGACTTTTGTTGGCATCAACACATCACTTTCCGTTGTATACACCGAAAACGAATCGGGTGTTTCAAGACGTGTAAGTTAGTACACCACCTTCTTCAATTACAGATAAAAATGTATGACTTGGTAGTAGCATCATTACATCCTTCTTCTTAGCTTATGTCTATCCAAAATAGTCAATGAAGTACGGATTGAACTAACAATCATCCGTAATATCTAAGCAACCATATTTTAGTACAATAATCAATTTAATACAGCTAAAAACAACTTCCAGTACCACCTACATTATCCCTTATCAAATTTCATCAAGTGTGTAAAAGCCATTAAATTGAGCATAACCCAAATTAAAATAAATCAAGTCAGACATTGTGTTACAATTAATTTTGCATTGGAAATTTTTACAGAACAATAAATTTGACCGAATTCTTTCATCAAGTATGTAAAATCCATCAAATGGAGCTTAACCCAAAATTTAAAAAAAAAAAAAAAAAATCAAGTCAAACATTATGTCACAATTAATTAACGAAATTTTGCATTGGAAAAATTTACAGAACAATAAATTTGACCGAATTCTTTCATCGTCCAAACTAAAAAGTTGACAGTGACATCCCAGGTTTAAATAAAAGGGACCATAACTCCATTAACACTCAGAATTTTAATGGGTATAGTAAAATCATAATTTACAATAAGCAAATTTGACCCCACCTATAAATTTAATCTCCAAAATAACATTGACCCACATATTGTATGCAAATTCTTAGTATAACAATACACGAGAATGGGTACATTCAACTCTAGGTATATCCGAATACATAATAAAAGTTCCGATAAATTAGTTAGCCGAAATCAAAGGAAAAATATATAAAAATGACTTGAATATGACTTAAATAGTATTCAATCGAGTCATTTCAAACCACCATTTCACCAAAAAAAAAAAAAAAAAAAAAAACCATAAAATTTCTGATAAAAATTTAGAAGATAATGAACCTTGTTAACAGCAGAGCAAACGTATTTGCAACCAAGAACAATGTGACTGAGAAGAATGGTGAAATCGCCTTGAGACTCGGGATGTTTAGTCTGCTCATTCAACACGTACCGTGTTATGGTCATCAAGTCCGTGCACCTAGCATCTGCTGCATGATCCATCTTCTTCTTCCTTTGATTTTCTATCTCCTTAAAGTTTGGAACAGTTGATTGGTTGGTGGGTATGTATGTGATAATATAGGGAATTAGGATGGGACGTCAAAGGAGGAGAGAAAGTGGGGTTTGGAGATGATGAGGTAAAACTCTCTGCCTGCCTCTCAGTATTGCAGTCTGCAGATAACGAATTTCGTCGTTTTTATGTGCCCGTGTCTGACATAACTAACCCGACTCGACTAGAACCGAACAATCTGACGAATTTCGTCGTTATTCTGCGCGTGTATCTAGACCTGACAAAACTATTCCGACTCGACTAAAATCGGATGATCTAACAAATTTCGTCGTTATTCTGTGCGTGTATTTTGACCTGATAAAACTAACCCGACTCGACTAGAACCGGATAATCTGATTGCCACCTCTAGTGCTGTTTGTTGATTCGGGATGTTATGACAGCTTTTGTTTTGGTTTGGAAGATATTTTTGACACTTTAGCACTTCTAGGAAATATTGTGAAAGTGGGGAGATTTTATTTTTGGAAAATGTGTATAATTGTCAATATATATGGACGTTATGTGCTGGTTTATCTAATATTTTAACTCATTGGTTGATCTTTTTTGATGAGGATGTTGATGTCAATGACATGTCATCTTTGTGTTAATTGCGTTGCCAATGGATATACACATACCTCACTTTTTCTTCTTGCTAATAATAAATTATTCTTTAGTATTTCTTTCGTCAAAAGTTATTTAAATTTAAATTAATAATTTTTTTTTTCTAACCCGATTCATCCGTTGGGTTAATTTAGATTCAGGGTTCAGTTATGGGTGGTTAGGTTCCATTCCCCTCCCAATTGTTGTTGGGGGAATCGAATACGCGGTCCCCCCCTACCAAGTGCAGCCCCAATTAGTACTGTACCAACACCAATTTGTTAAATTAATAATTACTCTTGTTATTAATGACAATAATAATCGTTTTAAACCTCTTATTGGTATAAGATCTAAAAGTAGTAACAAAACTATTGTTGTCTAAAAGTAACGATGAATATGAAGTACTTATTATTGTCAATAACAACAAGAGTAATTATTGTCGTGAATTTTCTCAATTGAAAAATGAAATCAAATGACATACATAAATGAGTTATTATTATTATTATTTAATATTTATTCTTGCGCATCCTCTAAAACCTTTTAATATATTGTTACCGTACCATGGTGTCGGATCACGAAACATAAATATGGTTTCCATTCATTTACTAATAAATTAAATAATTTATCCTCCACGCTATAAAAAAATATATAGTTATTGTGATCAAAATTTATGGTGGAATAATAGTTAGTCTTATAAGATTTGAAGCTATTAAGGATGATTTTACAAATCAGGTATAAGTGTGTTACTTTACTATAATATTAGATTAGTCTCGTGCGATAAGTGTGTTACTTTACTAAAATACTAGATTAGTCTCGTGCGATGCACGATTGGAATGAATAAAATTTTCTAAATTTGTTTATTTTTTCATACCAAAATTAAAAAAAAAAAAAATCCAAAAACAAATAATACATCAAATATTAAAAAAAAAAAAAACTCATAGAAAATTAAATGATTAAAGGTCACCTAAGGAAGAAAAATTAAATTATTATTGTTAAAAAGAATAGACTGTTTTTCAAAAATTAATACCATTAATAATATATCTGGCTTGAATTTAATAAAATAAAATAAAATTCTTAAAATAATGACATCATTTATAGTTTTGGTTAATGACAACATGACATGCGTCTAAATTTAAGTTAGGATGATGTTAACGGTTGCTATTTCAAGATTAGTTATTGACCAATGATAGAATCTATTGGTTATGAAAAGTGAAAATGACATAGGTTATGCACATGGATTAAATGAAATTTGAACCTCCTGAATCTGTACAAAACAAATCAAGGCAGTGAGTAATGAAGATATACAGAAGAAAAATATGACATGATCTTCATATATAAAAAGAAAAGTTCTCTAATGATAACATATGCATCCAGGGATATGCACAATCTATTAACAAATTTATCAGGGAACTAGTTCTTCCGAGAAATACTCGACAAATGAAATCAATGTCAAATACGACAGTTACAACAGGGCACGAAAATTTGGTGCCTATCTGTATCACAAACCAACACCACCAGTGCAAAGTTTGTTCAACCAAAGCTGTGCTCTGAGAATAACAGTCTCATGCGTCCCCTCAACTCATTTACTCTAGGTTCTAGACTGTCCACACACCGGCGGGTATATGAACGAGAGCTGATGGTTGGATACAACACATCATATAGATACTAAACGATACTTGGAGGCTCCCCAGTCCAATTGCAATTTGCACGAGCCCACCGCGTTCTAATGCAGTCTACAAGTGGAGCATGTTGCGGAGGCTCAGGTGCAACAGCTTTAGCAGCATCTTTTCCAGCAGTATCATTGCCACTGGAGCTTGAAGGGGGTGCTGCCTCTGCCATATATTCCTCCGGTGTCCACCTAGGTGGAACCGAAACTCGCAGCTTAGTAATCCGCGGTCTTTGAAAGGGTGTCTCACCTTGATTTCCATTAATTACTGATTTTGCAATTCCATTGAAATGGTAGAGATCAAACACCTTTTTTCCCATTAACCCCGAGGAATCCTTGAAACCTCCCAAGTTCCTGTCTAAATCCAAAAGAACCTGCCAGAACTCACTCCATACTATAAAGCCTGCGCTGCAGAGGCGGTCAAGCTTATCAGAGGGAAGGTTTATGCCAGTTTCCTTAAGGACCTGATGCAAGCCCTCAACACTAATGAAGCCGCCACCTCCACTCTGGTCTTGTGCATCAAATGCTCTCCTGATTCTTGATTCCCTCTCCTCCATTTCATTCTCCTCCTGAACAGAAGGATGAAAAGCAAATAGGACTGTGTAATGTGACTCACTCCCAACAACCCATATCGGCCATTTTGGGCGTTTTAAATGCAGTCCAACTTTACAGAAGTTGAGGGACTCAAGCAGGGTGAGGAATCCAACTTCCACATCAGTGGATACACCCTTCAAAAACATGCCACCTCCTAAGTCTATCCTCTCATCAAACACATTCGCAACAGCCTGTCCACACAGTAATAGGTTTACAATTTCCTGCACCGTGTTATTCAAATTAGCAACAACACTCATACTGCAGATGAAAATAAGCACCTTATCAACATAAGACCAAGGAATTACCTGCGAGGCATGACCAAAAGGGGCAGTGACTAGCGGCAGGCTTGGATCATCCCTATCAGCTTGAATGGATTCCTGTACAAGATAATAGGAGGTGAAATAAGAAGAATCTAAATGTAACAGAAGGTACTAATAAAATTACAGAATAAGCAGCAGATGTCACTAAGCTACTATAAACAATTCAGTATATTCATTAAAATAATACAATTGTGTAGACTACAGCATTGTCTATAGTGTTTCTATGCTGTAAAAAATAAAATAAAAGGGAAAAGCCTGTGCCTTCTACCCCTGCAAAAGAAAAATTGGGGAGAGAAAAGCAACAGAGCATGTATGCCCATAAAGAAAAATAGGCCAGATCCCTTTAAAGCTTCCTATTTAATGATGCAAGGGTGTAATTGTTATCTATCTTAAGGTTTTTACAGAAACTTCGTTGGTATTAATAGTAAAGGAAGTCAAACAATTATGATCAGAGTAGACCTCAAAAATGGGTCCTTGGACCGGGAATGGGTTAGGTTGATTTGAGACTGTCCCACTTAAGGTTCGGATCTATTTCAGGTCTTGTAGTAACGTGGTTATCAGTGACAATTTAGTAAAATTTGGTGGGCTGAAGAATTGAATTTAAACAGCCAGGAAACTGCATCTTTGTTCTTTGGCACCACAGAAGTGGCTTGGATGGCACAGGAGATCAAGTACTTTATGTTCACCAAATTAGGTTAGAGTTCAATAGTCATATGACTCATATCTTAGTAATGCAAAAGGTGGAACTGTTATTGGCTTCTACTCTATCCTATAAACTTTCTCAATCATAGGGACCAAAACCTTGTCATTACAGGAGGGCATGGAGGCTATGGTTGCTAGAACCTACTATGGGCCTTGAAAAATTCAGCAGTTGAAGTTGTGTTATTGAGAGGGGTTCATGTGTTGATAGCTGACCAGAGAATGGACAGAATTATGTTCAGCATCAGTCTGTCAAAGGTTCAGGAGTCAAGTGATATAGAATGTGAAAGACATTTAACATAGACTTCAGAATTTCTTTTGGGATATAGGCTTCAACTTATCAGAATTTCTTTCGGGAACATGGGAAATAGACTTCAACTTAGAACTATATAAGAAAGCCTCGCAAGTGGGAGATAAGGGAGCTTATCAGTATGTCCAATATTCCTTGAATCCATCCTTGATAAATCCCAAGACAATATCTACATTGGCAGACAATTTGGCTTTATACAATTGTCATTCTTTCTAAACCTCGTAAAGAGACTTCTTACATGCAGCCTTTTCCCCTTTGTACTCTAATTAAGAAAGCTAAGGTCCCATGTTACCTAGCATTAGAATGAGAATTGAAATGGAAATGAAAACAATTGGAAAATGAATATCTCAAAACTTTAAGCTCTTTTCACCGATCCAAGGACATTGCTTCCAATGGACATGATTGTCCTTTGGTAGATGAAAACAAAATGAAAGTACTCTCCTTGGATTGATGAAAACTGATTAGCTTCTTTACATTGTGGTCTTCCTATCTCACTTTTTCTCCATTATTGATATTTTTCTTATCTAAAGAAACCAATTTATCGACAATAAATATAAAGTTCAAGAATGTTATGTTAAAAGTAGTTACTGGCTAGCAGCTATCATTCTTCACCCATCAATAATCATTCCCACTCCATTCCAATTCCACATGATGTAAGAGTTAGACTATTTTAAAATTGGCAAAAATTCACATCTGTACCAAAATGTAAAATAAAAACAAAGCGTTATCTGCAGAACCTGTTCAAATATTTTTATATAGTGACATCAAGCTCTCCCAATTATGCAGATTTGCAGGTGCCTTAAGAGGGGACTAGGGGAGGGAAAAGATAAATGCAACAGGGAATTAAGCATGCAAAATAATTGAGATAGACATCTATAAGGTTTGACTCTCAACTTTTCAAGACATTAGATGATTTGATACAGCAATTCATCACATAAAACAGCTAACAGACATACCAGTCCTCGAGAAAGCAATGCTGAGATCAAAAATAGCATTGCTCCCATACGACTTTCAAAGACAGGAAGCATCATCTCAAGTCTCTGAATTGCACTGGCAGATGATTTATAAGACGTTACTCTCAGGGTTTTCTGCAAATCTGAAGCAGACTCAATAGAAAAACCTTCTAGAGCTTTCAATATCATCTGTAAAATAGATAGAGGCGTCAGCATTAACTCAATAGAACAGGGGAAGGTTAAATTATTACCCCAATCAGCTATAGCAGTAACATAGATTTAGGAAATCATAAGAACATACCTCATCCAGTGGCCCATCACTGTTGCCTTCACCATTTTGGTCGAGGACATCAAGAGTTGCAACCACTGCCTTTTTATTACTTCCACAACGAAATAATATCTCTGCCATACTTTTCACAAGTGCCCTGTAAATTTAAGAAAAGACTTGAGTGTGTATAGTCTCTATTAGATACAAGATAACAAAACACTCCAAATCGACCACAGAGAGAAAGCAACAAGATATTCAAGTCAGTTCTAGTCTACAATCACAAAATATCCCCTCCCCACAAAACATAATTCAAAAAGGGAAAAAATGCAGAGTCCTTTTCCATGAAATGATCCATTATTACTTTAGGATGGTGCCAAAGGAAGTGGACCGGGGGGGGGGGGGGAGGGGAGGAGTGGAGGCAACAATGGGGCCTAAGGGAGGAGGGAGCGGCAATAATGGTGCCTAAGGGAGTGGGCCAATGTCTTACCATTGCTTGATGTTGGTAGACTTCTAATCCCCTTCCCCTTGTAAGTCAAAGTCATGCCTTTGACTTAAAAATAAAGCTAGTAATCCAAAAAACAACAATAACATACAAAGTATAATACAATCACGTTTAAGATAAAATCTTTAAGTGTAGGAGCTTCTAATTGTCACCTTTTTCTAGTATCCTCTGAGATGGAAGCAAAATTTTCTGGGGTAACAGATTCCCGGTTCCAAGATCTCTGTGGTATTCTTAATGCATTATTACTTGACTCTTCTGGAACAAACAGAAGATATTTTAGGACGAACCCCTGCAAAAATTAGGGAAGAAAATCATGAAGTTGAAAAGGTCGCTAAAAAATGTAATTTTTACGACATCATATGAGATACAGCAGATTTTCTTTAGATCATGCTCAGCAAAAAAGAAAATCACAGGCCGAAGCCGCAGCCCATACATAACACACTCAGCCATTAAAAAAAATGTCACAGTTCTTTTAGCATTTCAGAATTTTTTTATCAAAACAAGTCATAGGAATTATACCAAATATATGCAGTGACAAATTTGGAAGCTAAATAATATAGTCACCAATATTTGGGCTATTTATTAAATTGCCTACCAAATTACCTTTTACAACAATGTGTATGGGTGTGCGCATGTGTTTCCATCATAAGAACTTGCAGGAAAAACAGGACAGCTATGCAGTTCTATGAAAAATAAATAGGGAGTCGACAGATGAGAACCAACATGAAACTACAGCCTTGCCATTTCCCAACAGGGCAAGAATGAAAGACAAAAACAACCACAAAATTGTTACAAAATGAGAGCAACATTATCATTACTACATAGTGTTAGCCCAGCTCCTAATAAAGCTTAAAATACTTTGTTCACCTTCTCTTCCCACAAACTTAAATGTACAGCAATTTTTTCGCAGAAGTAATTCCTTAATCTATGACAATGCGTTTTACAGAATCCAAAAGTAATTTCTTAATCTAAAAAAATGCTTTACATACAGCCACTCGTTTGATATATATGGATAACAACAATAGGTACCATTATCAATTTACCACTACATGAAAGCAAGATCAACACTCAAACTCCTAGTCAATTGAGGCTAGTTGATTGCTTAAGCAAATTATTTGTGTCAGGTAAAGCAAGTAAGCAACACTCATAGAAGGTTGTAAATTACTCAGCAGAACCGATAAGGACATGGCTAGAGAAGCAGATCATTGGTTTAAAATTCACTAAAAACGGCAAACTAGAGCAGTTTAAAAGGTGTGACATCCAAGAGATCTAACATGTTGGGCTAGAAATTATTCCAATCCCCTTACAAAGAGATATTGTGATTTTTTCATATCTGGGACAAATGTCAGCAAAAGAAACCCAGCTCTTCACTAGCACAGAGATTACCACCACAGATAATACAGCAAAAGACACCGATGAGTGCAGACGATATCAGATGCCATAAACATTGAAAGCACACACTAAACATAGAAATAGCACTGAAGATTGAATTAAAGCCACTATGGCTTACACGAACCACTAGTAAAAGATATGATAGCTAATAGCCTGTAACATTGAATGAAATGAAAAGTTTCTGTGTAAAGAGTACCTTATGAGAATTAATAAATTAAAAGTCACAGCAAGAATCTTACCAATAAACATTACAGTTTGTGCAAGATTAAAGTAAAGCTCAAATGGAGCTCTAAATTAAGCTGGTAATTTGATGGGCTTAACCCAAGCTAGTACAGAGTAATGGTGAATATAAAGCTAAAAAAAATAAAATCAAATTCATTAAAATTTACTCTCCTAAAAATTTTATTAAAAAAAAAAAAGATGACTGCAATTGTTGTAGCAACAGAAACAAGGGAAGGTATGAGAGAGAGGAAAGCAAATATTGAATTGTGTTGTTGGGTTTGAGCAAGAAAAGGTAAGAAAGAGCGTGTTGTGTGCAGGGCTTGTTGTTCATGCAAGAAAATTTAAGAAAGGAAATGTTGCAACTCTTGCAAGTGGGGCATGGTGAGGATAAAGATTTGCAAAAACAGGAATTAAGTAAAATTGTAACCAACAAAATGAAGGGTGTATAAATATATATGGTTAATAAGAAGATAAAAAAATATATATTACCTATTTGTCATCCACGGTTTAGATTTTGAATGAGAATGTGAATTTGTAATAAAACTCATCCTTTTCAATAAAATAGCAACAAGATCTACATTTCCAAATCTTTTACCTTGCTAGGAAAAGAAATCTTAAAGCTAACTTCGAGCTACAACAAGTCAAGCACGTTGAGTTAAAACTCTAGAACAATACTAAAAATTTACTTCTATGAGTTATATCCAAGATAAAGGTTTTTAAAAACATACAATTCACCAAAAGAATGATCTCACGGCACCTAATATCTTCTTTCAATTTCTCTACTTGGAATGTCATGCAGTTGAACTACTTGAACAGCAAGCACACAACCTAAACTAATTTTCTCATTTTTAGATTACATAGAAATAGCTAGGAACTTCTCTAAAGGTCCCTAATATTTATCTAATCTTAAAATATACACTTGAATCCCATGTGCTATTGGGAAAATAGTAAAAATAGATAGATAGATAAATAAATAGATAAATCCAAAACTACTTGGGACATATGTAGTTACACAATATACCAAACTTGTATAAAAATTGTCCTAATTGACTAAATTAGCAAAATAAATGGAAAAAAAATGAGCATGAAGTTCAAGAGTACCTATCTCTATAATTGGAAACCCCCCTCCCCCAAAATAAAAAATAATAATTAAAGTACTTGAGTGATGAACGATTTTAAATATAAAGTGCAAATTTTAAATTTATAATAAGTAAATTTTCTAGATTTATTAAATGTGTTTAAAAGCATTTTCATTGTAATATTTTGAAAAAATTTAAAGAGTTAAAAATAGATCAAAATTGTTAAGATAATGATGAACTATATTAAGTCAAAATTTATAAAAATAATAAAAAAATGTTGTTTTGGCAACTTTTAACCGTAGCACTCGACTTTTGATCCTCAATTCCTATGCATTTTCCATTCATTTATTTTTAAAAAAATATTTAACTTCCTATAACTTCCAAATTCTACAAATCTATATTTAATTTTTATTAATTAAAAAAAAACAATAAACCATCTATTCCACTAAGATTGTTTTCGTAGCAAAGAAAATATCTCGTGCATTACCACTACTACATTCTAGTAAATTGAATAAGAATGATAGAAATTCCACCAAATCTAAGACAGATCAAACAAAAAGGGAGACAACTTAAATATAGTTAAGGATATTCATATCCAACGATAATGCCCTTATTGTAGTATTCTTATATAATGTCTATAATACTACCATAGATATTGAGCAATTAATTACTCTATAATATGAGTCAAAAGATATAAAAGACACTAGTTACAAGTTCAAAGATTGTAGTTATTTGCCTTTTTTTTTTTTTTTTAATAAAAGAGATTGAAATTTTAATATCATAGATTTAAAAGATATTAAAATTTTATTAGATATGCCCTCCGTTCTTTTTTTTTTTTTTTTTTTAATCTTCCCACTTTCTGTTTTGATATGCTTTTTTTATCTTCCCACTTTCCCTTTTGATATTTTCTTTTTTATCTTCCCAAATTTGCTTTATTCCTTTAATGATAACGAAAATTTCCACTTTTATCACTTTCTACCCCGCTATATGGTCCATATAAAAATATAATAATACCATGTTTCTATACAACTTTCTCTCTTCTACCTAAAAAGTAAAAATAGGATCCACTTTCCACTTGCTACTTCATTTTATATGAATAGTAAATGGGAAGATAAAAAAGGAACGGAGAGAGTACAATTTATTTTAAAGTTTTAATAAAAATAAAGAAGTGGTGAGAAAATTGTACACCATATTGTAAGTATTGTGACAGGTGTCATATAGGGAATTTGCTAGTGTATGTCTTTGTATAAAGTTAATACATTTTCCAGTAAATAACCATCACGACTTCAGATAAGAACCAAAGCACAATAAAAACATTGATTTAAAATGATTGATTCGAGAACAAAAGTAGAAGTAAAAATGGGTAGTATGTGAGATCATCAAGCCATAAGAGCAATTTAACTCAAAGATTAGCTTACACTTGACACAATTGTAATTCTTACTGCACTTGAGACCGAACTTGGTTCAAAAAAATTCAGAATACTTTCTAATCATGCTAATATTAGTTTAATCTAATCATGCAACCAAAAAACCTTATACAACAGATCATTTATTATTTTCAAAAGAAAACACCAGGAAACCAAGTGTCAAGGCTCTAAAGGCCTAATATCAGTGAGCAAGAAATCAACTCATACTTGAATTGTTGCTAACACGCCACATGGGCCTCCTTCATGCTGCACCAGGCCCATAGAAGTTTCTGGATCAGGGCTAAACCTACAATAATGATTTCTATCAATTAAGCTGATAAATATAGCCATAAAATACTTTAAACTTATCATCCTTTCCAAAATACTTCGTATGATATAGCAAATAAATAGAACCCAGAAGACCATAACAACAAAATAATAAAGTGCAGTATAACTAGAAACATCAAAAGAATAAAGTCACATCAAACTGAGCATTATTAGATTTGATGAGTAGTGGGCATAAACCTAGGGGCAAGGGGTCTAATAATTAAAACACATATTTTCCTCCAACAAGAAAAGTCCCATACTATTACCCAATGCCTCTAACAATAATTCCTCTTCAGAATGTTCAGGAGTGGAAGGTCAAATGTAAGCAACATAACACAATATTGCATAGAGGATAAATTTACCTCTACGGCTATCTTGAAACTGTTTCCGTTAGATCCTTAAACAGATGACAAGGCCAATTTGGAGAACATTGCCTATAGCAGCAGAAAGATAATCCCTTTACCGATATAGTCGACACATTGAAAGGTTGCTTAAAAAGATTCTTTCTTTCCTAACTCCCAAGTCAATGTCAAAAAGCATTTTTCACATACACAGGTTCCGTTTGGTTAGATGGAAAACATATTTAATGAAAAAGATTTCAAAAGGGAAAATAATTTTACGAGGGAAATGACAATTGCAGACTTAGGCCCTGTTTAGTTCACTTAATATGCTGAAGTGAAATTATTTTTAATAAATTGAAATTATTTTTGCTGAACTTCAATTATTATTGATGAGCTGAAATTATTTTTACTAAATTGAAATTATTTTTGATAAACTGAAGTTACTTCAACTGATTCTCTATTATATTTATTCTTTAAAGTAACTGATTTTTACCACACTGAAATTATTTTTACTAAACTAAAATTATTTTTACTAAAACGAACTTATTTATAATGAAATGAAATTATTTTAACTGAAATTATTGTTTACTGAATTTTTTATTTTTTTCCTTACAATAAATTTATGTAGAAAAGGGAATTGGAAGTGGAAGGGATATGATGGATGAGAAGAGAGAAATATGGAGGTAATAGGTAAGTAATACGAAGTAAAATGTGGACTCCCTTCACTACAACAAAAAATGTTTCACCTTTAGGGGGCGCTTGGATTGGGAATTTGGGAGTATTGAAGTCAAACCAAGCAAAATTAAGTAAACATAGGAGAGGGGGAGCTAGTGATGATGTGATTGTAAGAAGATTTATATAGTGATGGTATGGTGATAGGTGAAAAAAGGGAACTATTACCCTTATTTTGGGGGTAATAAGTTATCCATTACCCTCATTTTGAGGGTAATGATTCCTTCACTCCTCTCTTTTCCTTATGGTCACTACAACCTTAATTCATTTATAAACACCTTGTCTCCCTACAATAATACCTCTAATCAACTATAATTTACCTGGTTTGACTTTTATTACCCCTTAATTTATTACCGATTTACCCCCATTCCAAGCGCCCCCTTAGGAGAGCTATTTTCCACCCCTTTTAAACCAAAAACCGGAATCATTTTCATAGAAAATGCTTTACACCCAACAAACACTCTCACAACACTCAAATACTACAGAAATTCATTCAACATATAGGACATATGACTCACTCCATCATCATGAGTTACTCTACTGCCATATACAATCTCTATACTGTATTACATTAATCACAAACAAATTCAACAGGCAATGCCCCAACAAAGTCCATAAATCACAAGATTTTCTCAATTTAATCCTCAAACAACAAATCAACAGCAACAATCCATTTAGCAAGTCATAAATACAAAACCCTCAAAGATTAAAAACAAATGACAATCATAAATCATAATTCATAAATATGCAGTAAAGTAAAGCACGCAAATTCTCCGTAAAGCTCATAAAATTCAATTTCTCACCCTAAAATTGCTCACAATCACCCTAATAAAACTTCCAAAAAATCATAAAACTAATCAGAAATCAAGAAAATAAGAATTACCTAATACCCTGATTAGTCCACTGAGCAAGAACCTCCTTAGTAACATTCCCACCAAAAATCATGAAAAACAACTGATTCGCCTCGTCCACCAATAACTCCTCCCCTAAATTCTCCCTCATTTTCACCTCCCTCACCTTCACCTCCTCCGTAATCTTCACCTCAATTTCACCCTCGCTTCCGCTTCCGCCTCCGGTCCCGGGGGCACTAACACTCAACAATGGCGCATTCGACATACTCGTCGTCATCATCATCATCCTCTTCTCCGCCGCGGCAGCCATAAGCTCCCGTTGAAGCCGCCGGTTCTTCAACTCCGGCGACTCCACCACCGGTGAAGCTCCGGCGGAAGTAATACTGACATCTCTAGGCTTACTCCTCTTCGGCTCCGGCGGAGAATTGCTTGGCGGCATACTCATCCTCAACGCCATCTGCAATTCCTCTTCCTCTTGATCCGCCATTGTTATTCACAAAAAAATCAGATCGAATTTCACAATTTCTTGCCCTATTTATAAATCAATCAAATTAAATACTGAATGATTTTCTTGAAAATCCGAAGTGATTTCAAATCTGATGAATAAGGAATGGAATTAAAATCAAATAAATTGGGGAAATATTTGATTCGTAACGGATGAATTGTAAATTATTGATTGAAATTATATAAATTTATGAATCCCTAAAGAATTTGATTTCATTTTAGAGAGAGAAAGTGAGTGGAGAGGAGAGAGAAAGAGAGGAATGGGAGATTTTCGTGTTTCGACCATCCGATTAACGGTTGAAGGTTGGGGTTTAGCGCTTACGACAAAACGGTGTCGTATTAGTAGAAATGTGAGGGGTATTTTCGGTAATTCGTAAATAAAGTTGACCGGATATACTTTACGTCATGACAGAGTCTTTGATTTTTTTTTTTTTTTTTTTTTTTTTTTTTTGGTGGGTTTAAGAGTTTGAGAATTGCACGTGTTTGGTTTTTAATATAAACGTGGTATTTGTTGTTTAGTGTTCGTTCTACTTGCTTTGTTAATGGAGGTTGGAGCATAACAGATTAGCAGATCGCATCATCGCACCTTATATTGTTTTACATCTAATGCTGATTATTTATGTATCGTGTTTGATCATTCAATTTATATTTCCGTTTAAATTGTATTTTTTTTATTAATTCAAATAGTATTCATAAAACTTGAGTTTAAACTTTGATTTTCATTTGAATTTTAAGGAGTACACGTTGTACTCTTGTTTTCTATGTGTAAATCAATGAATTGGTATTGTGCAATTGTAGTAGTTATCATTAAACGTCTACTTTTATCCAAACTCACTCTTTTAAGATAAAATGCATTTTACGGAATCTCTAATTTAAGTTATTCCAATCAAAATCAATATTGAAAAGTTAATCACATGGCTGACAACTTCTTCACAACTCATTCGACAAACTTCCGGTCACAAAGAGCAAAATTATATTGATGCATACTTGGCTCAAATTCGTATTGTATATAATGGGCAACATTTGCCAACCTTAAAGCCAATATAATCAGTCAAATGAAAGTGATCAAATTGCGACTTCATATTAGCTTGGTACTCCGTAACTTATTCTTTCTTTACTCCAAAACGGGAAATGAATTTAGGGGCACACTGAGCAGTGAGCACTATGTAAGGAAAATTGACAACCTTTTCACAGATGGAGAGAGCTCCAGTCGAGGAGCTAATCCTTCCACACTAGTCCTTGAAGCAAATCTTGAATTATACGAAGTATGAAACAGAAAAGAATCGAAGTATTAACTATAGGTTTAATCAGTATCAGATGACTTACAGAGTTGTAAACTTGTAATAGCACATTAGCACATACATGATACATGAAGCACAATAGTCCAGCAGTAATACATTGCTTTGACACTATTTAAATTTGGATGGAGGGACAACATAAGGACATACATCATTATTCTTGTACCGCCACCACTATCTAAAATCAAGATAACATCTACTTGCAACAAAATTTGGCAAACTGTTAAAGCTGTTTTAGAAACAGTTGGAACTGCTAGTGGGGCGAAACAAACTGCCTACTTATCTTCACTCCCAAATTGCTTCTGTATGTCTTGAAAAGATACGGTGGCAGATCCCCTCCTTTTGGCCTTCGGCTGAGAAGAGTGCTCTCTCCACCCCGTCATGAAAATAACCTGCAGTGTCCATTCCCGAAAAGGCGAAAAGGAAAGATTATGCAAATAAGAATTATTGCAATCTCATCAAATTTAATTTGACTCCTCTGGCATATACTGTGAGAAGGCTAATCACAAATAAAAGTTCCAGCAAGAGTAATTAACATTGGGGAAAAAAAAAATCCTTCATATCATCTTTTTAAAAATTTGAAGCACTCAGGTCAGGAAAAATATACTTGCAGTATCCAATCAACAGAACGGCAAGAGAGAGAAAGAGAGAGAGAGAGACAAACTATAGAGGACTACATCCAAATTCCTAAACTGAAAACAGCAGACAATAGAACAAGTTATTATTCTTAAGACATGTGGACAATGTAACATTCATATTAGAACTTCAGAAAAATCTAGCTACATGATGGGCATACTGCATAAATCACTTTTACTTCCCCTTTAATATGAAGCCATCAAGACATGCATGACATTAAACCATGGTAATGGGAACCTCATTCAAAATCTAGAGCCTCTTATAGATTCCTTCAATCAACTCACGGAAGAAAAGGAGCTAAAAAATGATTATGGTGTCAGCTTCACATAATCACCTGTTTTCCTCAAGGTCATATGCAATGCTTACATGTAATCCACCAGAGAGTTAACAATGATTCCAAAGGGCTAAATATAACAAAGGCCAGCTCCACGGAGAAGTTCATATGCTGAAGGGTAAAATGGAAATGCATTTGAGCAGTAAAAGTAAAATAGTTCATACAAGCAAAACCTGATCATAAGAGTTGAAACCAGTGAATAAAGCAACAGTTATAAATTCACATGCCTTTTATGAGCACAATTAAATGAAGACTTGCATTTATCCCAAGAAACATGGTGAAAATACAGGAATAGCATACAAGCAGACAGCCAATTGAGCAAAGTATCCTTAATCACCTGGAATGTTGCAGGAACAGTGCCGTCTTCAGCTCCAAACATGGATTGATAGACAGCAGCCGTTGCCAGAGCAGTATCTTTTTTTAAAATCTAAATATAATTGCATATCATCAATGTCTCTATAAGATGCAGAAGAATATAAGAAAGAATACAATAGAAGATTTTCTCACATTGTTCCTCTGTACAAGAGCATTAGTTTCACCCATAGCACGAAGATGCTCAATCAGCTGCAAAGCTAAATCAGCAGACAGTTAACCACCACATAAAATAGAGGTTAGGATGAAAATGTAGCTCACTTTCTCAATTCAATTCATATTACTCAAAAGCATGTTACTTTGAAGCTGATAAACAAGTTAAACAATTGCTACGCACATGTAAAATTGGAGAAATGAAGAACTTTTACTACATTCATCCCACATATAACTTCTCACTTCTGCGTGACAGAGTTTCAAAGCAATGTTAAAAGTAGGATGAAAAAGTAAAAATGGAATAATGAGAAAAGGTAGTACAGGAAAGTATTGGATTTGAGAGAGTGAATAACTTGAAACAAAATAGGAATTTTATGGGACATACCAAAATGAAAGTTGGAAAATTAATGTAGACATTGCAGTTAACCTTTATGATTGTTGGAAGAAATTTCCTAGGATATATTCCCTTTATCTATGATAAAGAAGCCACAAGTCTTTTCAAACAGCCCCATTGAATTAGGAGATAAAAGATTGAAGTGATATAGGGAAAAGTTAACAAGTTTCCTCCCAGCTCCCTTTTATGAAAGTAAAATAAACAAAAATATGTGCAAAACTTCCTATAAGCATCTTTCTCAAGCAATGCCACAATTTCTTCCTTTGAGATGAAAACCCCCAATCCAAGCATGGCCTAATAGTTGCAATAAGAAAGAGCAAAAAAAAAAGTTCAGGATGCACGTGAAAGGTGAAACTCACAAGGTACGATTGTTGCGCATTTGTGCATTAGAAGCAAAAGACTATTAGCTGGACTAGTAGCAGACATCTTACCCAATCAATTTTTAACTAAAGTATTTAACTGGAACTTTGGAAGTGATAGGATATTTTTAACTCAAGGAAAGAAAGGAGGAGATCAGATAAGAATAGAAAAGTTTAAATCTATAGAAGTGTTGTTATAATTTGATTATTGACTTTGAACTAATATTTTCTAGCACATTATTCATGATTTTCTGAACTCTAAAACTGAGCATTGGAAGACTCACCATTCTCATACTTAATAGTGTATTCATCTACATCAACACCTGGAAGAGCAAACCCTGCCCTTGTCAAAAGGTTTCCTGCATCTCGTACCTGAAATTCCAAAGTATATGTATTCCTTCATTAGAGGGAAAAAATGCCCATTCCTGGGAAGACTTTTATCACCCTTGGTCTGACAGCTAGAAAAGCTGTCAGTTCAAGTGACATAAGAGCCAAGAATTAAGTTACTTTTTTTAACCAAATCATGCAACAGCTCTGGCATGTAGTCATTAATGGAATAGTTAACTTTGCAACGGTCAGGCAAATAAGAAAAGGCAAATCTATATACGCATATCCCTCCGACTCAATTTACTTGCTCCATAGTCACTTGCACAAGATTTTATACAAGCGAAATAGTAGAGAAAACAAATTTCAATATTTGAAATGTGGAAAATTAATTGAGACACCCCATATAGGAAAAAGGGGCTTGTAAATTGGGACAGAGGGTGTGTTTTTTTTTTTTTTTTTTTTGGGGGGGGGGGGAGGTGCACTTAAAAAACCTATCCCCTTGGAATATATATGAGTAATTAGGTGTGGTGGTCAGTTAAAAATTAAGCCGGCAATTTAACATGAAAATTGGCAATCCCCATGCATTCGTTCCACACTTCCACCTAATGTTCCACATACAAGAATGTACGCATTCCAACTTCCAAGCGCCTAGGCTTGGTTATTCGAGAAGTCATGTTTGGGCCAGAGTGTGTAATAAGATAGTAGCTTTTTAAAGCACCAAAGCAGAGCACACGTCATTTAAGAGCAAGGGGAAATGAAAATGAAAAGGGAAAAAACCAAGCACAAATGAATACAAAATTATAGATGTAACTTTTCTTATCATTACTATTTTCTTTTGCAAGATTATTGGTCTATTATTTTGGCCCTATATTGACCCTATCCATTGAAGCCCGGTACAATAAAATCATTTTAAATTGAAGTCCAATAACAAGGTCTACAAGAACCCTTGGTCTGAACTGCATGTCTAACTTGAATTAACAAGGATCCATCTTTCAGCATCTTCTAATCCTCTGCAGCAGCAATTGCACACATATACTGAAACTCAATTATTTACTGCTGATTACTCAGTCTTTTACCTTCTCCATTTCCAACTAATCAAGGAAAGTGAGCTTTGGATTCTGTAATCCGCGCAATACATGTCAAATTATTCTATATCTAAAGCAAACTACTACTTTCAAAGAAGTTTCAGAAAAATTCATCCTGGCAATTGGTTACAGATGCCAGATAGATAAAGAACATATAACTAGATGATATAAGTGACCCTAAAACACAACATTTTATGATACTCATATTTCTCATGCAAAGAACCAAGAAAAACTGATAATTAAAAAGTACACAAGGCTTGACACTAGAAAGTAAGGACAGAATACCTGTGCCAGGGGAGATAGACGTGGACTAATGCCACCTTCACGTTCCATTTGTGCCACAGTACATGCTATCCTCAATTCTCTAAGAATTTCCAAATATAAAAATAATTAGAACCCTCAATACCCAAAAGGCTATATTATCCATAAGTATTTAGTCAGATAAACAACTTCAATGAATCTCCGCCAAGAATAGCAGCTAAAAAGAGCCCATCAGGTTTCAGTGCCAATTTACTCTGCAATAAACAGCAATTTAGCATATCAAACTCAATAAAAACAAAGATTAACATATCAAGTTGTACATATTTTCCAGAAAAGGGGAGATTATACATGAATCTATTGTCAGTGAAGCTATACCTGTATCATGGCTCCAGGAAGATCATTTGTCCAGTGCAGTCCTAAACAGCTGATGACTAGATCTAATGAACTAAGAAACCAAAAGGAAAAAGTTAATATGAGGTAAACAGAAGTCAACATCTTATATTTTAAGTAAGCACTATAATATACTTCCTCTGTTTTTATTTATTTGCAACACACCCCCTTGGCACGCATTTTAAGGAAGATATTACACAAGGTAAACGGACAAATTAATTGAAATAATTTTATTGCCGATAAGGAGAAAGTGTTAAACTGTTAGGGTTTAAATATTACCTTAATCCACCTGTTTACCTAATATAATCACTTCCTCAAACAGCGTGCCAAAAACATGTGTTGCAAGTATAAAAAATAAATAGGAAGTGTATAATTACAGCCCTAAAGGCTGTGGATAAGGAGCTAAAATGGAAATACTAAGCATAATCAAGTGTTGATTATACCAATCGATGCATGATTCTGTCAAGCATTCTTATAATAATAATACCATATTAGGTAATATGCTTGATGCTTAATTCCAACCCAATGATTGTATACTTGTATATCATAATTTTTAAAGTAATGAGTAGAAATTTAGTTGAATCTCTTATAATATAAGGGGGCCTCAGGATGTATCAATGGCATTATCTAAATCCCTCAAAACAGATAATAGTCATTTTTAGAAGTTGCGATGATCAAGGAAATAACAAGGCATACCTTTCTTTCACTGGTAGATACTCTTCATCACCTACAACAAAAGCTGTTTCAACATTTTGGTCAGGCATATCCTTCTCAGCATCTTTACATAGTTTCACCATATCCACTGACGAATCCATCATTATGAGTTTTTCAACACCACCTGACAAAAGGACAAATTTATCATATGATTAGTCTAACACACCTATGCAGAATTAGTTCCAATACCTCAAAACATTAGTTTAATAAGGATTGAACATAAATATTCCACATAAAATCTTTCATTTTTTTTTAGGAACAAGTAAACCTGGGTAATGGAAATTTTTGGACTGGCCCCAAATCAGGCACAAAACCAAGCAGGCTTGAGTGCCCTACTACACTCCATGCCTCCAGCAAGATTTTATTCAGAAACATCCAGGTATTTAGAAGAGTAACCACAAAAAGGACGGGCACTCAGTCACACAAGCTCAAACATTCTTTCATAGATTTAATTTGCTTTCACTTGACGACTGGAGCTTGTAATTAACAATTATTCAAATGAGTAGTGTGCTTTGATTATTGCATTATTTACACAGCCTTAATACTCTACACTCTAGTACAGTACATTATTGATTAATAAACCACTAAATTGTTCTACATAGCAATTACTCTGACAGAGAGAAGTATCACAAGCTGTTATGTTCTGAATATTAAAAACAAAAATTTTAAAATAAAATTGATGAAAGCAATTTAAGGGTTGCCTAGGATTTTTATAAATCACAACAAAGGTGTTCTTGAGCTAAAAAGATATATGAAGACCATCAAGCAAATGTTATTTGTATTCTGTAAAAGAAAAGGCTTAAAGATGTTCTTGCCTAGTTTGCTTTCAAAGTGTGTGCTTGTTTAAATGTCATAGAGCCTAGTTTGAGCTGCTTTTTACCTTCACCTTTTTACTCCCTAATGCATTTTATTTACAATTTATTTATTTTTTTTTCCTAATTTTATTAAACAAGTACACTTAAAACATAAGCCCTTATATCAGGAATGCCCATTTATTGGGTGCATAAACTAATGACACACTACAGCCCTGATAGACAATAATTATTTTGTTGTTTCAAGCAAGATCAATAATAACCGATTGACATACTAAACCTTGACAGACTAATAAATAAAAGTCTAGTCAATGCAACACAAATGTCTACCCTAATAAAATGCTACCGTGACGGCAAATTCACGAGTTTAAAAAACATTCACCATTCAAATACAAATTTCCATCAACAGACCATTTTATAAACAAATCATAGTCCAACAGTGAATAAACAAAAAACACTAATGAATTCAATTAAACCACCCCCCCCCCCCAAAAAAAAAAAAAAAAAAAAAAAAAAAAAAAAAAAAAACAGCCAACAACTTGCCCAAATGGCATATTCCGTATTCTGTAATACCAAAATAAGAATAGCAGCTGGTCAAAGAAGCATTGAAGTTGCAAGTCTTCCCATTGGATTAATGAGATCCTTAGTAACTTCATGGCTAAGGATTACTCTTATAGCAATCTTACCTTTTCCATTAACGATTAAAACAAAAATAAAAAGCAGTAATAAGTTCTAACAGTACTGAGGTTCATATCTTCTTAGTATTAAAATCAACTCAAATAAAATTCCAGCGTAATCAGTGGCGGAGCCAGGAATTTCAAACCGGGGGGACAAATAAACATCATCACTTAGTTTAATATTGGAGCAAAAATATGCTTGAATAGTTAAAGTTTTACAGCTCAAAATATAAAATACGGAGTACTTAGTCAAAAAATCAACATCGTATACCACTTTTCTCCATAAACTATTTGTTTAGGGGTTCATAATTTTTGAAGATTTCAAACAATTAATAATATAGTTATTTAAATGTAGTACTGTCATAATTATCTATTAGGCTATAACAATCGTAATTTGGGGTAAAGCTCATGCAAAACTACAATTACAAAGATTCAAATACGTATATGGAGTAATTGTTAAGAAATGCATTGAAGTAATATTATCTTATAAAGATTTAGGTTTCAAAATCTTATAAAGATTTATTAAAAAACAAATAAAATAAATAAATAAATAAAGGGAACTACAGTTACAATTATTCAAATAAGTAAATGGGGTAATGTTAAGAATTAAATTGAAGTAATACTATCTTATAAAAATTTAGGTTTCAAAATCTTATAAAGATTTATATATATAATAATTTTTTTTTAAAAAAAAAAAACAAAAACAAAAACAAAAAAAAAAAAAATAAAGGAAAGAAAAAGCGCACAGGAAGAATCGAACCCAGTTCCTAAGACTACAAGTACAAACTCATGCAACTTACTATAACCATTGCGCTAACTCCTTTTGTCTATTACATTATGCACAAAATATTGTATTTATACTATTTTGTTTTTGAAAGTGGGGGGACAACTGTCCCCCCTTGTCCCACGCTGGCTCCGCCAGTGAGCGTAATCTTTTTCCAGTGAAGCTTAAGCTTCACCTTCAGACCTTCAATTGAGCTCCCAAAAATTGCAAAAAAAAACCACTGGATCATAGAGAAATATTAAGACTTGCACTGAATTCCCTTAATGAACCCAAAGTCAACATCGAGGGATACTGCCCACAAAATCATCTCAAACAGCATAATGGTGTTTAGATACATCATACATGTGATCATTAACTTCACCTAAAAAAGTCACTTTCACTCACTATCCAATTCCAAACAATGAAGCAGCCGACAGCCCTCATTGACGTGCATTATTTTAATCCCAAATTCTACAATTAAGTTCAGTTACTTCAGTAATCACCTAATTAAGGTTAAGTCGTGTCAAATTAGACGTATTATAAGTAAACAGCTTTCTTCCCAGGCCGCTACTCATGTGTATACTATTTCCAGCTTCTCACACGCTAAAAATGACTGTAAGGACCATTTATCTTGACCCAGTGACCCTTACAGCCTCCATTTTTGCCAGTTACATCGGAGGTGCTCAAACATGACCTGTACACCAAAGAAATATGAACTTGGTAGGATTTTCTGATTCCATAGAGGAAAAGTTATACACTAGGTTACTAAATCTATGAGCTTTCAGCAGATTTCTTGTATACACAAGTTAGACCCAAAAGTCTTCCAGCTTCAAATTTCTTATATTCCAGGATCATGAAAGTAATGTCTAAGAGGACATCTTCTTCAATATGCACAGTAATTCCTTTTTGCTAAATCCCCTTCCTCTAGGCGGTAAAAAACCAGGAGTTCTGCCTAGAGAATGTAGCAAATGCAGGAATATTAAGTTTAAACTCTTACCCCGCCCACGCAACGACTGCCTTATTGCCTTTAGGGAGCCTCCTAGACATAATGCCGTGGAAAATTCTCTTTTGCAGTCCTACAAATTAAAACAAGAAACTATAAGATTTCTAGCCGCAACACCTTCCAGTGGATATTACGGCTAAATTGCACTGCATCATCTTCCTCAGGGAAATGTTTTTGAAAGATAGGTCAGCAGAAGCATATGTACTATGTTAATGGTAGTAAATTGCTTTGATCAGACTACTAGTCTCACTAAGAAAGTGCTAACTATATCAAACCTAAAAGTGAACTTATTCCACAAATAGCCCAACAAAGATCATAAAAAAATTCCAATCTGATATGTCTAGCAGTGACATACACGGTAAAGTTGGTTCATACACTGCCATACTTGCATCATATTCTTAAATTTTTCAAAGAATAAAAAGATATAGGATTGTTTGGAATTAGTGGCATAAACCATGGGATAATCCAGGTCGAAAAGTCAGAGCACTGCTACATATGAGCAGATAGAACACAATTTAGAAAGATAAAAACTGCTAAAAATTTGGTCAACAATTGCTGTTGGATAACAAATGAAAGATCAATTAGCCAAACAATTTTACCAATTTGCACAGGGAATTTACATACTTGATACTTCATTGCATTGAATATCTAACAAAGGTCATATATTTATCAAAAGAAAAGAAAATGAAGGAAGTAATTCCCGGTTTCCCACTTTCTGTCACTGAAGAGACATAATATTTTAATATTACATAAAAAATAATATACAACCAAAACAAACACGGGTAACTTAGTAACAGCAAAACTACCAGCCCAAATACCAACATAAGGGTATAGCGCCATGTAAATGTCTCATTTCAAGCCATACGGTTCCTTAACTATAAACCAACAAACTAACCTCTAGGCGATCCAGAAGATTATCAGCCACGGAATTGATAAATGTATCATCTGAGCGAGACAACCATGCTGCTCGATCACGCTGAAAAGCAAGGAATGAAAATTTTTTTATGGTAATTCTAACATAATCTAATATCATAAAAATCTAACAGATTTTTTTGCCAATAGCAAAGCACCAGTCCATTTACATGAACTAAGGTCCAAAGTTGTTGTAATTGCACACTCGCCTACGCAGCTATTATGAGATATACAAAGAATAATAGAACTTCTCAATTTCACTCACCGCTACTCTATACACAAGCACCATGAATTCACAAAATGACATAACGCAACTTGCCAAATTACTCAATATACTTTCACTCAGTCAAATAGTTTCTGTCTAGGTATGAATTGGTAGTGATTTATTTGGATACCAATCGATAACTCGAGTCCACAGCGACTGCACAGAATGATTACAAGGCCAAAGGCCCCTGAGATAAGCAACCTATCACACTTGTATTACTGTCTAATTCATAGATTCTGATACATATTCCGTTAATTTAAAAACAATTGAATGAATTGATCATCAGTAATATAACCTAGAATATTGAAATCCAAAATCAAATCCACAATTATAACAAATGCAATCAAAATGCTGCCACCAAGAGAATCATCATAATAACAACATTATACTTTACAAAACAACGTAATCAACAAAATCATTACTCATATAATCAAATATAATTTGCAATAAAAATCGAACAAATTAAAACAATTTGAATTCAAATTGTGCAATGGACCTGTTTGCGCTTGAGATCACGATCGAAAATCTTGACTTTAGAACTGCTTAATCCATCCAAATTTTGGGTGCAAAATGAACTTCTACTCTCAAATGTAGTTGCTTTAATCCAAGTTGATAGAAAATTTTTCCGAAAAATTGAATTAATTGCTCTCATTTTTCTTCGAATATAGTTGGATTTACTAAACAAATTGTAGAAGCTAAAAACCCTGCGACAATAGAGAGAATTTACGGTTCATGGATTTGCCACCACAACTATACAAGTGGGTGAATGGCTTGAATGCGGTAACACGCGGGTTGGTAAGAGCTTGTTTAATTCACCATATTTTTGCGGAACTCATTTGATTTAATTTGCTCTATATTGAACTTTTGATGTGATCTGATTTGATTTGATTTGATTTGAATGTTTTAGTTTATCAAACTTTGACCTGTATGACAATTTAGAGCACTACCAGCAGTGAGGAAAAAAACCCTCACGAGTAAAAATAAGGGTGTAAAAAAAAAAACCGAGCACCACGGCAGTGAGGGAAAAAACCCTCAACCGTGAGGGAAAATAAAAACCCTCAAGAGTTGAGGGTTTTTCTAAATGAACAGTGCACGCGTGGGGCCCACAAGCAATACATTTTCTTTTTTTTTTCTGGTAGCAATGAACAGTACACGAAGCAAAAAAAAAATTAAATGGCTGGCACTGACGCGCGTCAGCCCAGCCAATGGGAGGGTGACACGTGTCAGTGCTTCAGCCAATCAGAATTTTTGTACCTTTTTTACAATGGTTATATTTTGTAAATATTTTTAAAAAAAAAAATACACCAACGGTCATAAAAATTTTTTCTCTATAAATAGACATGCATTTTGATATATTTTGATATAATTTAAAAAAATCTCATAAATTAGAGAAATTAACATATTCTCTCAATTTCTTCTTCTTCTTATTATTATAATTATTTCTTACAAAAAAAAATTATTTTTACATATTTTTATTAAATTATTTTTAAACGTAGTTAAAAAATAAATTATTTTTACATATTTTAATTGTATTGGAAAATTAATTATGTAGTATAAACAATATTTCAAAATAAAGATAAAATAAAAAGATGATGTGTATTATGGTGGGGTATAGTGGAGGAGTGAGAAAGTGGGTAGAGAGAGATTGAGGAGTTTTTTTTTTTCCTCATTGGTGTGGTGAAAAAATCATTTGATGAGGGAAATTGGGTTGGAGGAGTGAGAAAGTGGGTAGAGAGAGATTGAGGAGTTTTTTTTTCCCTCACTGCTGATAGTGGTCTTATAATTTATTTCTTTTTTTCATGATGTGAAATTTTATTTTATTTTTTTTGATCTGATATAATATGAACTTATTTTTTCTAAAGTAAGTTAAAATAAGGCGAATTAAATATGACCTAAACTCCCTCTATTTTAATTGCAAGGCAAATTATATCTAGTGACAAATTGACAATAGCTTAACGCAATTTCTTTTATACTCTTGGAGTACCATGGAGGTTGTGCATTTTTATGTTATTCCTATTCCTATATAATCTTCTTATTATTTTAATTTTATATGTATGTTATTGTTTTTTTTATGATAAACTATATGTTATGTTATTTAGGCATTTCTCTTTTGATATTCCGCATTTATCTACTTCATAAATTTCCTATGTTAAGTTACATATTGCCTACTCCAAACGATATTTTCATGTCATATTTAATTATCTCAAAGGAGTGAAGAGACACATAGGATGGTTTCGGATAAAAAAAATAAATAAATAAATAAAATTATCAACTTTAAGCAAATTAACACAATCTAAGAACATAACAAAAAGTTTTTGTAAGAATACGAGTAGTGGTAAATAACATGAGCTGAATGTAAAATTAAGCCCATACTCATGAGTATTGGATGCGAGTTTGTGTAAGAATATCAATATCCAAGTTGGAGTATTATATATTTCCTCCGTGTTTAAATAAATCAAACATTTTCCTTTTTCAACCGTCTTTAAATAAATGAAATGTTTTCTTTTTTTAGTAACTCCTCTCTATTTTTTAAAAACTTTCTCTACTTTTTAATATAACTAATGGTCCTCACAAAACCTTCTCTGTCTTCTCTCTCCTCAACTAATACCCCACTACCTATTATTCTATTAAATTCAACTAATCTTTCTAAAACTCCGTGAAAGTCAAAACGTTTCATTTATTTAAACACGTAGGAATAATAAACAATATTTTTTTTACAATAAGTTAGTTTGTATAATATGTTTTCCTTCCCTTCCATTCCCACCCTCCTTAAATTGTTATCCAAATAATGGATTTAGTCCACCTCCCTCTTCCTTTCCTTCCAAATAAAGTAAGCTCGGATGGGTCATTTGAGAGAAATAAGGCTCGATTTGTGGCCAATGGTAAGGAACAAGAGGTCGGTGTTGATTGTGATGAAACGTTTAGTCTCGTTGTCAAACCGACAGCTATCCGTACTATTTTGGGTCTAGCTGTCTCTCGACATTAGTCTATTCATTAGTTGGACGTTAAGAATGCCTTTCTTCATGGTCACCTTCAGGAAATTGTATACATGCATCAGTCGCATGAGTTTGTTGATTAGAGTAAACCCAAACATATTTGCCTCCTCCGTCGGTCGATCTATGGTCTTAAGCAGACGCATAGGGCCTAGTATCAAAAATTTGCTTCTCATATTATCTCTCTCAGTTTTGTGAACAGTAAGAGTGACACCTCTCTCTTCGTATTCCGTTAAGGTACGGTCGTGGCTTATATATTGCTATATGTTGATGACATTATTTTAGCTTGCTCATCTGACTCTTTACAGAATCATATTATTTCACTCTTAAGTGTTGAATTTGCTATGAAGGATCTTGGCCCTCTGTCTTCTTTTCTTGGTATTTCTGTTAAGTGTACTAAGGATAATATGTTGATGTTGAAGTGGACATTCATTTTGCTCGGGAGAAGGTTGCTCTAGGTCACATTCGTGTTTTACATATCCCATCTTCATATCCATATGCTGACATTTTCACCAAGGATCTTCATATTCCGTTGATCTAGGATTTTCGCTCCAGTTTAAGCATCTGCCTTCCTCCCGCTTTGACTGAGGGGGTGTGTTAGACATTAAGATTAATTCATAAATAAAAATTCATACGACATCTACAAGAGATTTAAATTTAATAAATACATGACAGTTGAATCAAATAAAAACATCCTTTCATCAGAGCTGCGATTGTTGTTGCAAATCGTACATTCTTCATACCCTCTTTTCATATCGCAGTGATTTACAGCCTTCTTGACGAGGGGGTCTACCGATCTGTTGTAGTCGTGAAGAAAAATTCATCTGATTCATTTGATTGTAATTGAAGGATTAACCTCTTTCTCGATCCCGTACAAATCTTTACCCATAAAACAACTTGTACTTATACCATACTAAACTCAAAAAATAAAAACAAAATTAGAATAAAGCCCACCATAGGGGCACTTACTACACTCAAACCCACTATAAGGGTACTTACTTGTAACACCCTAGAAATTCCTTTCCTTTAAAATACCTGTTTTGCTCTTTTTAAATACGAAATAGGAAATTCTAAAACATTACCGTCACCGTGAAAAACGGCTAAGGCAACTATCAAAGACACACAACGGAAGACTCTCTTTAAAACCATTCAAAACAAGTCAACTTAAAAAGTCAAACCAAACGAAAGTAAAGTCAACCAAAGTCAAACAAAGTCAACCTACAACTTGGAACCATTGTAGGTCCTTAATAAAACCGAGATAAAACATTTGAAAACTTTTGCGTTAGTCTCACAAGCAAAATATATAATAATTAAAACAACCAACCACATCATATTCTTATGGAAACTAAATATGATTTGCTCTTCACTCATGCCCATCACAAATATGCTTCAACGGTTGAAAAGCTCCTCTTTACTTTGTCCCCACTACTCGCCATTAGAAATGGGTCGTTGTAGAGCCAAGATAAAGACAAGGCCAAACAAACATATAATACGCAATCATCAATGCTGAGTACATAAGCATAAATAGAACACACTAACATGCTTTCATCCTATCATCACACAACTTACCTTTGTTGCACCTGTTTACAAGCATACAACATACAACATAGCCAACTAACAAATCACTAGATTATTTATTTAGCTTGATCACGCATCGAACGAGGTTCCCCCTAACCTGCCCCAATAACGGGGTACTAATACGGGAGCTAACCGTGCCAGTATAAAAGAACCACTCGTAAGTGGCGGAATTCCTCGCATAATAAAAAGGAAAATACAGCGTCCTGTACTCCCGGTAGAAGTTATGGTCAAATATAAAGTCGCATAACTCCCCTCATATGTTCATACTCGAGGTATATACGTTCCAAGAGTTTTGGTGCGTAATCTCTTTCACTTTACGTTGTTTACACATTTTAGACTTGGTGATGACTCTCAAACCATCATACAATCAGTCATAATAAATCATCAAAGCAATCAAACATACCAATTTAATTATTGAATACTTAGTGACCACATAAATTTTAATGGTGAACCCTTTTTAACTACCTCGGTGTTAAATAACACCTTAAACGCATAATGCGCCATAATCCTATCCCTCAATGTTTAAAACACCTTAAGTGAACTTAGGCACCAAAATATAATTTAATCCTCATGCACATAGACACTTAAATAGCTCTTTTCCCATGCTTATAGCATCAATAAAAATTATATGAACCATAATAAAATTCTCTTTCAATATTTCAAACTCAATTAAACATTTAGGGGCTGTTTGGTTGGGGGTATTCAACAAAGGGAATGGGAATCGACGGGAATCATTCCTTTTGTTGTTGTTTGTTAGGCCACTTTTCCAATCCCCTTTACCCCCTTCATTCCCCCAAATCCCTTTAAGTTCATTCCCCACCTCCCCTAGCCTTTTCCATTCCCTTTCCTTAGCCAGCATTACACCACCGTGCCTACACCATCCATCACCCTTCTACCCTACCCCCACCTCACCGTTTTTCCCCCGGCCATCGCCGTCCCTTCTCCGCCACTCACTGACCTCCGGTAAGCTCGCACCTCACTCGAAAATCTTCCCCAACCCCTCGTCGGAACTCAATGCCCCTGTTTTCACCTCCCTCACCCCTTGCCAGAGGTTGTTGCACCTCCCCCATCCCTCGAAAACCTTCCCCGACCACTCATCGGCCATCGCTTCCCCTGTTTCGATTGAGCAAAGTTCGAATAGAAGAAAAACGAGAATTTGTTGGATTTCTTAATTGGGGTTTTCTGGGATTTGGAGGGTATTGATGATGAATAATTAGGGTTTATGATCTTGGAATTGACGGCAATGGCCGGTTCAGAGGAGAAGGAAAGGTGAAAGGGATT